CTACATGCGTAAAACTCTTCTTGGGAAAAATTTACCGGCGCTTTCTTCGGGATTTTCCAATTACCGATCCCGTGATCGAGGATTTCGATCCCGGAGGTCGATTATACGGAATACGGAGCCTTGAACGAGTTAGAGAAGTCATGCAAGCCATTTTTTGTTGTAACGACGACCGGCGGATGAGATGCTGCAGGAGGTTGTGTAAACCTAGAGAGACCTTCTCATCGCTACTTGTTTCTTGAGCGTCATTATCCGGTGTATCCCCTTGAGTATATTGTTAAAATGTTAATGAAATTCAAGACGCTTTTGAGTCGTTGTGAAATAAAATATCAAGCTGCTGGAGGTTGCGTCAATCTAGGGAGACCTTTTTTCTTCTGCATACTTGTTTCTCGATCGTTATTTTTTTTTTTTTGTTGATGCGCTTGAACACATTGTTAAAAATATATTCCCAGTACCACGCACTTTTGTGTTGTAGGGAAAATATAAACGTTTGAAGTCGTAAAAGTGAATTAGTATATTCATTACAAATTTCTAAATGAATTTATAATTTCATGAGAGCATTTTTTGATTTCGTGAAGTCGCGGAGGGAAATTAGTACACTTGTGTACAAAATTTATGACGTGTGTTTATGAAATGTGTACATATAATGTAATAACGTTAGTACACCACGTCTGAATAAAAGTTGGAAAAAAAAAAATTGGAATACTTTTTAACATGGTATTCTCGATATAATCTGGGATACTCAGGATCCTGGCCGAATCGATTTAAGAGAACTTATTCTCGACCTGAATTTGTGGTTTCCGCGCAAATGGGGTATTAGAGAGAAACGGTATGTAGTGCCCTGAGCTGAAATTGAAAAATCAAAGTGTTCCCGCTTAGTCTCTTGTTAACCATTTCCTATCGGGGAAGCTGATGCGATCTCTTGCCGATTCGCCGAAGGCAACTGGATGGATGTGGTTGCAGAAAATACCATCCGTGGGCATTTTTTCCGGCGATCCTAGTCCTACGAGCGAGGCTCAAACTTGTTCGCTTTCTCCGCAGGAAGGAGAAAGATTAATGGCGGTTATTCTAAGTGCACTTTTAGTCTCATCTCGCCAGATCGGCGAGAGGAAGCGACGTCGATATCACCAGGAAATGGCCTCGAGAGTTCTCTGCAAGAAATTCGGTCTTGAAGCCAATGGCGCCGAGATTAATAGGAATGTTTTCCATTGTTTAGAGTTAATCTAATAAGAAGTTCGAAAGGATCGAACACCAGGGAGAAATCGCCCTAACATTCATGGCCGTCCTTTTCCGATTTCTGCCAAGTCGAGCGATGTTCCTATTTGTCTCGGTTCGTAAAACCCGCGAAAACGCTGTTTTGCGCCAGAACCATCCTAAGAGTTAGAAAGGTGATTAAACGGAGGAAAGTAAGGTTGCGGGGTTCTTTTTAAGCCAGTGAAATTTCCAGTTCCTGATGCAAATACTGGTGCCACTGGATGTCGGAGATGAGGAAGATTCACCGTACTTGATTAACAACATTAATTTTTACATGTTGTTACTTTCTTCACTTTCCCACTTGCCGGTTTATGGACGCAAGGAAACTGGGTTTTTGACGAAACAATCGGGTCCCTAAGAGAGATCGGAGAGATTTAATGTTAGCAGCCTCTTTTTGGTCCGAGGGTTGAATGACGACTCGGTTCGTAAAACCTGCGGAAACCTCCGTTTAACCAGACCTAAGGATCGGAACGACTGTTATAATTCAAGTGAAATTGAAGGCTCTTCTTAGTCCTATCTCTTGAAGAAAGCGCAATTGATCTCTTAGCCTTCGTCGACGACTCTTTCGCGGATCTCGTGGTGCTCTTTTCAGCAACGGCACGTACAAGATGTAAGATGGCAAAGAAACGTAAAGTAACCGCGATAGTTGAAACGAGAATAAAAAGTGCAGCTTTCTTTAGTAGAGGATACCATGAGAACGAAAGGAAATCACCTACTTATCACGTATCATTTCATTGAACATTAAAACACCGGAACAAACCACTGTGGAAGAACGGCTATTTTCGAACCATTTATTTATTTCGTTCGTTATTCATTGAATTTCATCTGTGTGACATAATGAGCCTGTTTCGTTGGAATCGATATGGTTGTGTCCATCTTTGATGATAGTCATTGAATTCTGAAAAGTATATCTTCGGGTCTTTATTGTTCACGTCAAATGAGAGGAAAGCTCACGTAGAAACGTATTTCAGTTTTGTGATCCATCTACTCTATGTTCACCTGGCGCTATAAAAGTCTGACGTGAGTTTGATGTGATCCTTTGATGCTACGTGTCTTGACTTATACATGATTAACGCTCATTGAAGGCATTCAATTTATAATTTAATGGCTAATTATGCTAAAGTTGATTTCCTGCGGATTTAGTGCGTAATTTAATATCTTCAAAAAACACCTTCGGTGTAAAAAAAACTTTGCCAAATACATTTTTATTTCCGACTTCAATTACAAAAATAGCTCGACAATGGAAATCAATTATCTTTGCCAAATACAATAGTACTTTCATACTATTAAAACTCTAATCAGTTATTTTTCCCAAATGTCATAGTATATTTTGCCCCCATGTAATACAAGTACATCCATTCCGAAAAATTTGTTTTGCTTCGGAATAATGTCTGGGAAAATGTTCAGTGTTCTACTTCATATAATAAAATAAAAAAATATATATAAACTAAATCTAACCATATAAATAAAATTAGAAACTCAATTTGAAAACAACATTTTATTTGGCGAGCACTAAAATAGTGATGATAAGTCGTACGAGTATACTTCCAGTGCTCGCCAAATAAAATGTTGTTTTCAAATTGAGTTTCTAATTTTATTTATATGGTTAGATTTAGTTTATATATATTTTTTTATTTTATTAGATGAAGTAGAAAACTGAACATTTTCCCAGACATTATTCCGAGGCAAAACAAATTTTTCGGAATGGATGTACTTGTATTACATGGGGGCAAAATATACTATGACATTTGGGAAAAATAACTGATTAGAGTTTTAATAGTATGAAAGTACTATTGTATTTGGCAAAGATAATTGATTTCCATTGTCGAGCTATTTTTGTAATTGAAGTCGGAAATAAAAATGTATTTGGCAAAGTTTTTTTTACACCGAAGGTGTTTTTTGAAGAGATTTCACTTCTTTTTTTAAGATCTATAACAAATTCGTCAATTATATCAAGAACATACCTCATTTTCATAGTATTTCAATAATATAATATTAAATGTTATTTATGCTTTTGTTGCCTCTTTGCATTACATATTAAATATTATTTCTCTTTATTATTTCTACAATGTTATAAATATACTACGATATTAGTAAGTATATAGATAGATAGCAGGAAAGTATCGAATTACTGATACATTTTCTGCGGATTTAGTGCGTAATTTAATATCAGATAAGAGAAAGTAGTACCCTTTCCTATGTGCGATAGAAACATAATGTCTGATAATCTCTGCACGATGTATCGATTGTTAGTGTCCATTTAAATAGAACAGAATTAGCTGTAGGTAATGAAAGTACATCCAGGATGGTAATTGTAGCTCTTCTTGGTGTGCTTAAAAAATATGAGCACGACATTTCATAATACGTAATTTCAAACGAATATTCAAAAGAGGGAGATTATTTATGCAGCGATCAATGTACACAGAGTGAGTTGTTACATGTGACGTGTTATATGAGCATGTAATTGTATGCACATTCATCTTCCTTTATTCCTGTGAAAGTAACGATCATGGACCACGCTAACCTTCGCCGAATGTCATTGACAAGTCTTTCTGTGGATCGAACAATTTTGCATTACACCTTCGGAAGGACCTTTGTTGAAAATATATCATTGACTTCAATTCTGGTACCATCCATAAGACTCATCACAAGTTGGGTACTTGTAACACTTTTTTTAACGGGAACATCTTTTTGGAAAAATATTGTCTTCATTAGGTTTATTAATAATTAGGGAGACATTTTAATTAACAATAAGGCAAAAGTTTACTTACTATTCAGTCAGGCGAGGCACAAGAATTGATTTACGCGTCAATTTCTGTCTTAAGTCCGGCCATGCTTAAGTGAAAATGTGCAGTAACTATCTCTAAGAATGGAAACTAATCTGTAGCTGCGGACACTAATGGGCAATTAAAAAGAGGCACCTTTACGAGTTTCGTAGCTCGGCATCGTTCTGCTCGTCTTGGTATTTATTGTTCGGCGTCACGTGCAATTGATCGTTCCTTACCAAATATGTACGGTGGCAAAACTTCGGTAACATTTTCCGAGAGAAAAGCGACTGCGCGATTGAACTCCAGACCCTCGCTCACCTTTCCAGAGCGTAGTGCAAAATTGCGACATTACGTGAACTTACGCAATGCGTTCCTCGAATTTCACCACAGTGTCTAGAACCTTTAATGCAATGTACGCAATTAATGTAGAAGCTTTGGTGTCGTAATCGAACGTCCCGAACCTTCTTATCACGCGTATGCGTTAAGCGATGTAACCAAGACTCAAATTCAATGTTTTAACTCCAAGCTGTAATTATCATACATTCTCCGACTGGTATTTATGAAAGATGTCTTCTTACGTGAATTTGTAATCTTTCGAGCACTTTTTTTTCTCACGTTCTCGAAAACATATGATTTCAGTTTAGTCACATGATTTCTATTTCACATCCTAGGACTCTCAGACATCAAGACCTTTCCTTTCGCAGTATAACGAGTCCTCAATAGTTAACATTAGTCGCATCGCCGAAGAACCGACGATTAAGTAATAAATAGTTTTAACTAAATAGTATTCGAGCATCCATAATGAGCAACCTTTTTTAAATTATCGGTGACTTCGCGTTTTTCAAACGAATCCACGATTTTTCACCTACTCAGGCTCCCTACAAATAAAAATGTCGTGGAAATAATTTCATATTCTGCATTATTATTATTACATTTTTTATAGATGTCTTGATATAGATGAAACCTTATTCCGCCGTTAAGGTGAAGTGAAACGCGTCGGGGAACTTAAAAAATCGTGAAAAATCAAAATTTTCAAAGTGTCCGGATAATTCCTACGTGCTCACGAGTGATGTATCAAAGTTTCGGACAGTTTTATCCTTAATACCCTTAAAAAAAAGTGTCTTATTTGAATAGACTGATTTGAGGAGGGTTTCACTTCACCTTAATCGAAGGCATGACCACTGAATTATCAGAATTCCTTACAAACGTTGTCTTCCTCCATTACCGCTTCACGCAGAATTTAATCTTAAATCTGTCTTAAATTTTAAGGTCAGAGCGGACAATGAAGGCGATTTATCTCTTATTCTTCGGCATTGTTGCGGTGAGCGCACAACGACGTCTTGCATTGCCGGATCCACGAAGCTGTGCCAATAGTGAGTATCCTGATATAAAAACTATTTTTATTACGGTTGAATTTTAATTCCAACGTTATTATGGACCCAGTGCTGTGACTGCCCAACCGTGGGAACGAAGGACGAATGGAAATATCAAAGTCGCCTTAACTTTTAGGGGTACGTCACGCAAATTATCGAGATGCCAGAGGAGTTGCCCATACGTATTTCTTCAGTTGGGAACATCAACCCACAAGGAACCTCGAAGTGGATTGGCTGGATGCTCGCAACATTTGCCGTCGACACTGCATGGACGCCGTCTCCTTGGAAACTCCTCAAGAGAACGAGTTCATTAAGCAGAGGATCGCACGAGGTAAAATATTTGTCTTGCATGCAACGTACCCTGTAAACAGCGGACAAATTACATGAAGTGTTTTAACTCTTCCATACCGTACATACGGTCAGCAATATGTCGGTCCCGCTCATCCCGAATGGTTACATTAATGAACATTGCTTGACGATCAAATTTGATAGGTACATTTATAGCATTTTATCGATCATCCCGTCTACATGCAGAAAAGCGTTCGTTGGGGTAAATAACATTTGCATGGATCAGTTATACGATATGATTACATAAAATGTTTTGATGGATCACGCTAAATATTATCTAAGATTAGCAAAACGATTTAACTGACACTTTGATCGAGACAAACTAGTTCGCTCAAGTGAACTGAAATTCTGAAATTAACGAAATGCAGTCTAACGATTTTGTCCAATGAACCAAATTTGTTCTCTAAGTATAAGAAATATAAGAGGGCTAATAATCGCTGTGGATATCCGTCAGATTGTTGTTGACAATAATTTAATACCATTTGCATACAATCTATACCGTAGAAGGTAAGGCTATTCCTGGGATCTCCTTATATGCCGCATTTTAACCAGGTAAATGTACCTTATTTTCACTCAACGACGAGCGAAGGACATTTCTGCAGTTTTTACGGTCACGTGTGAGTTACATCCTTGTGCATGTGCATAGCACACCTGCAGATGCAGAGGATGCAAGTAAAAGACGACTGGTCGAACCAACCCACTTTCACTTGACCGTCGCTTCGAAAAATAACTTGCCAAGTTGTCGGCAATCTTCGGGGCATCTGTTTTCTGATATTTTTTCCTGGCATCTGTTTTCTGATCTTTTTTCCTGGCATCTGTTTTCTGATCTTTTTCCGTGGCGAAAAACAGAAGTAGTCCGTGACGCCCCCTAAGGAAATGAGACGGCTGAAAGGTCAAGTAATAAAATTCGAAGATTTCTATATTTCCCCTTTAGAGCGAAGTCACGAGCATAAGAACGTGAACCTGGTCTTCGGTAAGATCGTCCGCTCATTATACGAGTGAAATACAATGCACGTTTAGTGCTCGTAGAGGAAGACATTGCAGCTGCAAATCTTCTTTCTTTCCCATTATCAAAGCTATAAAGACGTGGGCTGTATATCACTACACCGTGATGTTCGTTTTGACGCGTACAATTTGTGCAGTAAATATGGAAGAAAAGTATCTTTTGCGGTGACTTTCAATAAATATCTCCTAAAGGAGTACCCATTACAGTATTATCTCCTTTTATCGCCATTACTACACTAGGCAATACAATTGAACCTTTGATAACTTTGCATGCACTTTAAATTGCAAAATAGCGACATTAGTAAGCGCTCACAAATCCTTCAATCGACCCGAAATGTTTGCAGTTAATCACATTCGACGATAAGAACGAGATTCAATTTTCATGATAAATATTTGATAGTTTCACTATAGCATTTTATTGAATATATGTGGGACCATCCTGGTGATAATAGTGATTTTATGTTTTATCTCATGTTATTACGTATTCTACGTTAGGCAGTGTTTCTTTAAAGTTTCTTTAAAGCAGTACAGTAAAAACTAGCATGTTGGGTAGACTTTCTTTTCCTCTTCATTGCTCAACTACAATCTGTTATATATTTATTATAACAATAATTAGGTTTTATGAAGGATATGTACAAAATAAAAAGAGAAAGAAAGGCACCATGCAGATGTACATCCATTGATGTGTCACCTGTTGTTATGTTGGGTAGACCTAAGAGCATATTTTAAGGACAAGAGCTTACCAATGAGCTGTAGTTGCCTGGGGCGATCGCTCTTGACCTCTCGACGTTCTCGTGTACTCGTACGCGAGATTATTTCTGAGCGAATATCGGGGCTTACTTTAGCCGACGAGATGACCAACTTTCGACATAACGAGGCTCCAATCGTCTGAATAGAAGCATTCATTTCGAAACTAAATTATAGGTTCAATCACGAATATTTACTGATCTACCATGTCTCAAGGGGCCTTTACATAACGAGAAATTCTTGGCCCAATTGCAACATAATATATTAGAAGTATTATATTTCGTAATTTCCATATAAAAATCGATTCTTATCGGAAGTATGTCCTATCTAGTATGAGGATTCTAAAAAGTTCTTTGTGCACCTGCATATGTTGAAATCTCGACGAAGAATGAGAAATTAAGAATAACGAGCCTACTGTCGGTAGCACTGTGTCCAAGGAAATTGCAAAAGTAATTTCTTTGTCTTTTAGCAAGTGCACGTCCTTTGAACGCGTTTCTCGGTGGCTTCCTCGAAGAATTTGTTATTGTTTCTAAATGTAACCTAATTAATTGTTTTGTACCTGAGAATGTGAATATCATGATTTCTGGTTGGATCCATTAATGGCGCATGTATATTCGTGTGTGTTCATGATATAATTAGCGATTGGAATTTGCGACAGGAAATGTGAGGTATATCTGGACATCTGGACGCAAGTGCAACTTTAATGGCTGCGATCGGCCCGATCTGCAGCCGCAGAATATTAACGGATGGTTCTGGTCCGGTTCCGGTGCTAAGATTGGGTCAACCACTCAACGCAATTCTGGCGATTGGAGCAACACTGGTGGATATGGACAACCTCAACCAGACAACCGCGAAGCTGCTCAGGTACAAATACAAATATTTTATTTTCTTGTAACTTCTTTCAGACTATAAAAGCCCGAATATTCAATCAGTTTTCATTAATCCGTCCACCTCTTGAGATCGCTCTTCATCACTTTTGGACTTCAGTTTATACTAGAATGTGTGCAACTCCAAATCTTTTGGCCTGAGGAGAATTTATGATTCACCTGAAAAATTGGAAGACAACAGGAAAAATGGTTTTTCGAATATTTATTAAAAATGTAACGATTTATCGAAAGTAAAAGTAGAATTTTGTAGAAAATAAGTAGAAATGAACACCGAATGTAGCAGTTCACTTGCGTATCGCAGCGTGACTGTATAAGTTTAAGTATTTCGTTTTTTTATGTAATTAACTTATCTGATTCAAAATTCCAGGGTAACGACGAGTCTTGTTTGTCTATTTTGAACAACTTTTACAATGATGGAATCAAGTGGCACGACGTGGCCTGTCACCATGTGAAGCCATTCGTCTGCGAAGACAGCGACGAACTTTTGAGTTTCGTGGCTTCCCGAAACCCAGGGATCCGTTTGTAAATTGAAAATAACACTTTGACATAAGGCGCGCTAATGTACGAATGAATCACGTCATTCTATGAGTATTGTACTTTTAGTCTTATTTATATTTCACTACTCAGTACTCTCAATTCGCTCACGTAAAATAGTTCTTAAGTACACATCTATGTAATAAGAATAACATTAGTCACATGACGTAGCCTCGAAACTGTGCATACAATTTTGTATTTCTTTTCGTACGAAAATAAATACTTCAGTATTTTTAAAGGCATCGTCTGGAGTTTATCTCGTCGTGTCAGTTGTTTTGTATTAAATATACGTATACCTGTTTTTTTTTCATTGCGGCACCTTGTTGATGGTCAAGATACAATGTGTCTAAAGTAGCATAAAGAAGTGTAAAAATTATGTTTTACATAGAGAAATGGCAAAAATAAATAAATAAGAACAAACGTGAAATATGAAGCAGATGACCTACCAATCAGGAGGCTGAAAAACAAACACAACAATATGGCTATCCTACCCGCTCCTTTTCCTATGCACGGCTTCCCCTCCTGGGGGTCTATTACGTAAAGCAAATTGAGCGAAAATGTGAAAAATGAGTAGTTCACGGCATTACGGAAAGTTTTTGGAGGGGGAAATGCGAGATGATTCATATGAACTGGCTTAGCACAAATTTTTAAGGGAAATGGTGAAGCATACAAAAAAAGATAGAAAAATAAGCACCGTGAACACCATATTCCACGGATTGTGACAACGAAATTAAAAATGGAAAACCTCTCAAAAATTTTCGATTTACAAGGTATGTACCTTTATTTGAATATTACTAGATCGGAAGGGCTAGTGATTTCTTTTTCTTCGGTTCTTATTATATTATATTATATTAACACGAATTTTGATTGGCTGTAGAGAAACAGTGGAATGTGGAAACATTCACCGTACGTCTTTTGCAGTCAATCAAAACCTCTTATTCACGCTTTGTTGCTCCGTCACTTGTCGCTGTAGCACTAATGAAATATTGGCCTAATACAATGCACTTGTAATACCATATGTACATATCATCAAACGTTCGTCATTCCCTAGCTAGTAGCCAATCAGAGAGCAGTCCTGCAGAGGAGAGATATTATTGGCTACTGAGTGACAAACGACTTATCCATGTTCAAACGGTGTGCTGAGGCAGTTTTATTACTACAAGTTAGGTGAAAGTGATTACAATAATTTAATCCGCTTTGAAGTTTTCTCTATATTCACTGATACAAAATGAATTATTCTTGATTGTTCGGTGTAAATTCCGTCATAAAGTAATCTGTATTTTGAGTTCGTAGTACGGCTAACCGAGGGCGCCACTGTCGCGATGTTGATCACGGTCCATTAAATGCACTAAATCGACCTTCTCAAGGGATCATTCGAAGAGCCAACTTCGCTTCGTTGATCCGGGGCAACAAGCGATACAAACACTCGTCCGTTTATCGCAGGGATTTCGTTATTCAGGATAATCGTCTCATTAAACTAGTTTCGACTCCTTGGAGCTGTTATATATTTTAATCAGTTACTCGCGATTCACAAATCACAATCTGTGATCAAGAGAACTAATACGGTAGCAATAACGACAATCTCCATGACTGGGTGAGGGTGCAGCTGAGAAGCTCATAGTGGGTTGATGAAAAAACGGTATCAATGAGATTGTGCTCTGTAAGTCTTAAACTTCATAATTTCTGAAAACTGTGAATGTTTTACATATGCCTACAAAATTGTAGCTACAACACCGAAAGTGTGTGATATACCTATGCAATGTCGAGTACTTGTAGAACTGGCAAAAGATGATAAGGAACTGAAACACATTCCATATTCTTGACCATGGTTCGTACAAATACGTACGATTCCTTGTTTTAAGAAGAATCGGTAAGTGTCTTTTCTTTTCTGTAAGATTTGGTATAATTGAATATACTACTTTGCACCTAGTAGTTCATAAATCACTGTTAAAGTTTTCGACAGTCTGGGGACATAAATTATATTATTCACAAACTTCATTGTAGTGACGCTACCATGGGAGTATTGGTTAAAAGTATCAAATCTACAACAATTTTATATTTCTTCTACTACTTTCTACGAAAATTTTGAACATTTTTCTCAGTGCAGCCAAATGAAATTATACAAGAACACATCTAAAGATTAATTTATTACCATTTATTAAATTTGATATGGTTTAAATGTTAATATAATTTCTCTAGCTTATGAAAAAGGAAATATATTGAAGTTTATTAGAATGTTACGACTTTTGATGTTTCAGATTTGCTAAAAATTTTCCAAAAAGTACTTTAAAACATCTCTATGCTTATAATAAACCTATTGATATAAATATTAAAAATTAATATTTATTATTCAGGGTTATAAAATTGCTTACAATTATTTGATATTATTAGAAGTACAGAAATATAGGCAAATATCAATATTTTGCCATAGAAGATATTAATTCATTAATAAAGTAGAAAGTTTTCAAACTACGCGACTTTTAGAGGTATCCAATCCCAAGTATTGGTCGATAGAATTATATGTAAAAAAATGTATTACAGAAATCGTCTAGAAGAGCAATATAATATTTTACAGAAATAATATGATTTAAAATTACAAAATATTAAAGTACCAGCAGCATATTAAATGTAGAGATGATACAATTTGTTAACTTATTTAATTGCTGATCTTCCTGGAAATTAAAATTTATACAGTAAAGTACAATTGATAAATGGACTTCAGATATTACAATGTTGTTTCAGATTACATGATTGTGCAAAATCAAGATGGCCCGTCGCCGTAAGAATGAATCAAAATCAACAGTAAAATCACCGCTAAAGTTTGTAGCTGTTCGAAAGTCTAGTAGACAAATAGCTAAAAAACAGTTAGAAGATAAAAAGGTTAATGGTGGATATGTACGGAAAATACATTCAAATGATTCTGAAGAATCTAGAAGTAGTCAGGAAAGTCGAGAACAGGCAAAGAAAGGTTCATCAGTTCATAAGAAATTTGGCAAATACAGTCGTTCGTCAAACAATGATAGAGAAAGTAGTAATGATGAAATTACTAATGAATCGGATTCAATAGCGCAATATAAACAGGATGCAGGAGAAAGCGATAGTCAAGATGGATTGGATACTTCTATTCTACCTTCTGAGAAGCTTAGTCCCGAAGATGTTAGACAGGTAGTTGTTGGAATCTCTAATCCTAGCACTCAAACATCAAATGAGAGTACATCTAATGAAGTTATGTGGCAAGAAGATGTTATTGAAGAAACCATTATCTGTGAAGAGATGGAAGTAGAAGGAGATGCTGTAGATAATGGTTATGTGGCACGAGATGACAATGTTGTACTTGAAGAAGTTTTGCTAGTGAAAGAGCCCGATTTTGATGAAAAAGGCGTTGTTGAATTTACTGTGATACAAAATGATGATGGGACAGAATCCATGGTAATGTCTTCAGATTCACGTAATGTGCAGATTGAAGACTGTTACCAAGATACAAGTGGTTTTCGTTTGATAGAGGAAGGTGTTAGTAGTTTGCACATGTCTGAATCGGTACATTTTTCTTCTGCTTCTGTAATCGATGACATCTGTGTACAGCCGGAAAGTGAGGAAATTAATAAATCACAAGATTTTGATATTAAAAGTGAATGTAAAAAAGATGCAGTTCCTAATCGTAAAAAATGTGCATATGTACAAAAAGATAGATCAAAGAGCGAAACAAGAAGTTCGTCAAAAAAATCGTCTCGTTCATCCGTACCTTGTTTGCCGGAAGAAGGTTCCAGTAGGTCCAGTGTTTGTAATGATAAAAGTGACTCAAACACTGCAAAGTCTTCCAGTGAACAGGAATCCTTATTATTTCAGGATGAAAGCACAATGGATAAGAATGTATTCGATGAAACTACAAAATGTTCACTTAAAGAATCAAGTGAAATTATTCACCTTGATGATAATTTAGCAGGCATGCAAATCTCTGAAAGTCAAAAGGGTACCACAGATAGCAACTCTCCTAATGTACAAAAACATAAACGTTATATGAAACAAAGTTCCACATACGTACCATCTGAGAAAGTTTTACCACCTATACAAGAAACCGAAAGTGATTTGGCATTGTTAGATAAATTGGAACATTTACATACTAAGCATAGCTCTGATGATGGACCACCTGAAGAAACTGAAATCAGTGATGGACATATACTTATTAATTCAATGGCGGAACAAACCAGTATTTTAAAGATCGATGACTTAGAATCAAAGATCGCCTGCACAAATAGTTTCATTTCAAATCCAAAATTGGGTCAAGAAAAACCTAGCGCAGATCAGCTTAAAAACTCTGAACGTGTTCAAAACATCGAAGAGCTGTCTGGAGATAGTGAAATGGATGCCAAGGCTGATTCTGAAGATATCAAAATGTGTAGTAGTAGTGAAAATAGTAATGACACTTTACTTTCTGCTAACAATTGCAAGATGCGAGATTTTGGTGATAAAAGTAATACAGGGAGTCTTAGTGAAGGGGACAAAAAGCCTGGATTTAGAAGTCGTAGTGGAAGTACTGATACTACTGGATCTGAAAGTGGATCTAATAGTTCTGGTGTTCGTCGCAGCAGTAGAATAAGATCGATAGGTTTAATGAAACAAAGGTATGCATTATTTAATAAAGTGCATAGAGTGAATTTAATGGAAGAGCACATAGTAAGAGATAATAAACATACTAACCAGGAGAGGGATTAGTTCTGCTCAATCTGTTATAAAAATGGATATCTATATAAATTTAACAAATCAGGTAACTTAGAGAAACAGCAGGTCGGTACATATTATGATTTAATTGAACGGAACTTGTATCTTCATCAAATTCACTCTGTGTAAACTTTAAAAATTGATTATCAAAATATTTTCAATTGAATAAATTTGCAATTAGAAAATCGTAATTTATGTTTATTCAAAAGATCGAGCAAGGGTAATGTCATTATTATATTTCAAGCTCCTGATGTTTATAGTCGTCAGTGTAGGTCATTTAATGTAAGGATTATTGAATATTGGAAAATATTTTACATTACATGTGTTAATAAATCTTATTTATTTGTTCCTTGTTATTTTGCTTCAGGTCTCGGGGACGTGGTTTGGTGGTCAAACCTTCTACAGAAGTCACAAAGACAACTCCGCAGCAAGAACGTGATAAGTTATCTAGCATATCCAACGTGATAGGACAGGAATTAAAGGATAATGTGGATAATCAATTGGAAACTCAATCGGACAAAGAAAACAGTAGTAACAAAACTATACCAACCACTAACGAGTCACTAACTCCATTACTAAATGTTATCGGAGCCACTGGATATGACTCTGATTCTACGAGGCCTGTTAAAGTGAAGTCTCGATGGCGGAGATCAAGTGAACTTGAAATGGGATCTGGGTCCTTATCTAATTCACGGACTGGAACAATTCCAGTACTTAATTATGGATCCACAATTAATCAAGATACTTTATCGAGTTCTGGACCTAAGACTGAGTCTGGATTTATGTCGCCACTGGCAGTATCATCAACATCTGTATCTACATCTGGAAATGGATCTGCATGCATCTCAACCTTGAAAGTTCTACCTACTAACATTGAAAAGCCCGTAGAAAAAGATTCACGTTGCGAGACACCTATAGTAGTAGAAAATGCCAGTGCTGTATTGCCGTCTCAAGTAGTGATTGGATCAAAAATACCACTGCCAATGGTGCTTCAAATAAAAGATAGAGAAATGGAAGAGAGACTGAGTCAGTTTGAACACCTGAGAGAAAATCTTTATTTAACTGAACGGTAAGTTTATATAGTCTTTGAATACAAATAGGTAATTTAAAAGAGAAGTTTCTCAGTATCGCAATATATTATCAAGTATAGTTATATAATGTGTACGACATTTAAATATATGTCCTTTTACTAGGTATACTAATAAAGAAACGAAACGTATGGTGTGCGATTGCTTTTTAACAGAGGATGAGATAAGTCGGGGAGAACTCGGTTGTGGGGAAGATTGTCTCAATAGACTTCTCATGATTGAATGGTAAGTCTTTAAAAGTCACAACTTATACATGGGATTGATGCTGATGTTTTATGTTAAATCTGATTAACATTGCATTGAAAATTTCCAGAAATGCATAAGTTCATGTGTATAAACATATGCATGAATATTTACTTACAATATTGCAATTTATTTTAGTGGGTCCAGATGTGTTGTCGGAGATCGTTGTACAAATAAAAGGTTTCAAAATTGTGAATATGCAAAATGTGAAGTATTTCGTACGGAAAAGAAAGGTTTTGGATTACGGGCTACTGTTGATTTGTTTGCGTAAGTGTTATATTTATTAAGTACATTAATTAAAATAGTAATTCCTTTCACAAATTACTAATGCGAAACTGTAACTTTTTTTTATAACCCTAAACAATACAATTTCTATTCGATTTAATAGGGGTGAATTTATAATGGAATATGTTGGCGAAGTGGTCGACCCAAAAGATTTCCGTCGACGAGCGAAGGAATACTCAAAAGATAAAAATCGGCATTATTATTTTATGGCATTAAAATCTGATCAAATTATTGATGCTACTATGAAAGGAAATGTATCTCGTTTCATAAATCACAGTTGTGATCCCAATTCTGAAACGCAAAAAGTAGGTTTATCAGTTTTATTATAGGAGATACATGACAATTAGTTCTCTACGTAATATTTACAAACCAGTAAAATGACGTAATTAATTATTACAGTGGACAGTCAATGGTGAATTGAGGATAGGATTCTTCAATAAAAAGTTTATTGCCGCAGGAGAAGAGATCACATTTGACTATCATTTTCAACGATACGGGTTTGCACAATTCAATTATCTTATTTGTATAATTATTGTAACTCGATCTCTCCATTTTTATTACTAATTATTTAGGTTATACAAATTGTGTTATACAAAACTAATAATTCATTTCTTAAAATTAGCAAAGAAGCGCAAAAATGTTTTTGTGAAGCTACAAATTGCCGAGGCTGGATTGGTGAAACACCGGAAGAAGAAAAAGAAAAGATCGAAAAGAAGGAAAAGGGTGACAAGGATAAAGATAGAAAGAAGAAGGAGGAAAAGAAGCCAGCTGATTATATGGAAGATGAGGATGTAAGTAATTTATTTGTTGGAGTTTAAATAGAATATGTTAATATTCCAATGTCACTGTATGTGTTGTAATTTATACAAATTTATTTCAGTTGGAAGAAGAAATTGATAAGTTGTGTTCCGGTGGTTTAAAAAATCGAGCTCATACATTGACGCTGAGTCGATTAATGGTTCGCAGCAGAGAATTAGAACATCGAACTCGATTATTGCGGCTCGTTCAAAGTGGGGAGCAACCATGTCGAAGATTGTTCTTAGACTATCACGGTCTTCGACTAATTTGGAGCTACATGATGGACGTGATGTCTAATAAATCCGAAGAAGCACAACAATTTCGACTAGAAATCCTCAAAACATTAGGCACTTTACCAATTCCAAATAAGACTATGTTAATGGATAGTAAGGTTTTTAGTGTTGTCGATAAATGGGCGAAGCGATTATATGCATTACCTAGTGGTGATTCTCCGGAGGACGACTTAACTAAATCGAAAGGCGATGACAGCAGCTGTGACAGTAACGAAAAGCCAAATATCGAACTGAGTGAGATGGGTGCATCGCAAGAGAAAGAAACAGACAGTAGTCCAATTTTGAGTGAAATTAAACAAGAAGCTGTGGAGCAGACACTCGTTCCAGAGTTAGCCTCAAACCTTCTAGTCGAATGGTCTAATTTAAAAGAAGTTTTCCGAATTCCTAAAAAGGAGAGAATCGAACAGATGAAAGAACACGAAAGGGAAGCAGGTAAGCTATAACAGAATTAAAATTCAATATCGCAATAAATTCCGAGTTCTATTTAATTCATGTTTTACAACATGTTTACCACAGATCGTGGATACAGAGAAGTCTTAGAAAAAGAAGAAAGAAGAGAAACGTCGTATGAAAGGTAATGAGTCTACAAGCGAAGACTAAGTGTTCGGGTTTGATTCGACGATGAATAATTTCGTTCCAGACATAGAGCGGATCGCTACGGACGGAACGAAACTGACAAACGAGTTGACAGAAGAAGAGGACGCGATTCGCCCGATTTCGAGTACAATAAGACAAAGGATAAGCGAACCGAAGAGCGAGGAAATCTCGTTCCTATTCCTCGTATGTCGAAGTACGAACGCCGACAATTGTTTGCGTTAAAAGTTGCGAAAGAAGAGGAGGAAAGGCAGCGGCGCCAGCAAGAGGAATCCTGGCAGGAACACGAAGCAAGATGTATGGCTCTCGGCATGGATCCACATACAACGGCTACGGTTGATCCTCAAACTGGCTATCCGTTATTCTTCAATCCGTCCTTAGGGCAATGGCAACCATATCCAATTCAAGGTTTAACGACTTTCCAATTAAATGTAAACTTCTCAAATGATATTGTTCTTTTGGTTTCGATATATTAACTGTTACAGACGGTGGGGAAATCGCACAACAATGTACGCCTGTCTACGTGGGAGGTCACTCTCAAACACTGCCTGGACTCCCGCAATCCACCGTATCTCAAACTCCTGCCGTACTAACTGCAGCAATCACTCCTGGTATTCAACCTGTCATTCCAGCCGGGGTTCCACCTACGGTGTATATGAACCAAACGCCAGCGTTTACTCCACCAAACACGGCATATCCGATCTTGCCTCATCCGTATCCGGAGAGTCAGATCCAAATTTCCGGAAATTTATTACGGGTACATACGGAGTCGTCTCCCGTGCCAATACCAACTCAACCCTTGTATATTGAAAAGTCAGTGGAGCAATTCACTGCTCCGGTTACTACTGCTGAACCTGCTTCGTTCACGCCAGTGGTATCGGCATCTACCCCAGCACCGGAACCGCCGCCATTGGACTTGCCTCCTAAATGGAAGTGGGCAAAAGATGCTCGTGGTAGAATTTACTATTATCACGTTAAAGAAAGGATATCGCAGTGGTTACCACCGCCCCCGGATCACATTGGAGTGCATCCGGATTCCTCCTCAACTTCTGAATCTAGTGACGAGACCAGTTCATCGAATGAAGATGACGAGGATGTAGACGATGATCGCAACAGCGACAAGATGGGTGACAGCGTTCTGGTAGAGAATAGTTTAGTGGAGGGTACATCTAGAAACGTCAAAGAGAGTACCGCAAAGAAGTTGGATATATATGCGGCTACGTTAACAGTTGGCACAGAGTTGAAACGGAGAAGAGACGGACTTGTTCAAGAGCGGATTATTAGCGTAAGTAAAGTTACTTTTCAATTCTGGAGGTGTTCATTATCCTAATATTTTGTAATTGCCAGAAGTAGATAAGTCATTTGAAATGCAACTGATTCTTCGCGCGTGTCTTTATCTGCAGCATAATCGGCAAATTTTATGCAAATTGGAATACAATTATATGCTCTGTGTGTTACAATTAAACCATAGGCTGAATCTTCTAGACTCACGAAGAAATGATTACCGTAACAGATAACCGAAATTGTTGTTTTACGTAGAGATTTAAGAAAAATCTATCGAGGTCGGAGTATTTATGGAAACTTGTTTTCAGCCAAGACGAGAAGATGATCGTATCGACCATAAAAAGTATAAAGAAATAAAGGAAAAATTACGTCGCCAGAAAGAAAGGGCAAAGTTGAAAGAGCAAGTCGAAAAGCTACGAAAACATCGTCGAAGTAGCAAATCGAAATCATATTCGAGACACAGCTCTAGCAAATTACAGGCAATTGCAACTGACCCAACATCTACATCAGAAAGAAAGATTAAAGATACATTCAGAATAAATATGGCCAATGTGATGGTGCACTTCTTGAATCCATACAGAAAGAGTGACTGCAAACAGGGAAGGATCACCAATACGGATGATTTTAAACATTTGGCTAGAAAGGTATACCTCGTTTTTTACAAGTATGCCCTGATGAAACATGAATGTTCTTTTTTTTTTTTTTGCGGGTGTGATGTAGGCCATTGTATGCCATGTACATGTTCGCTATTGTAGATTCCGTTATTCATGCCGTTTAATGGTAGCCAAATTTACTGAGTTTGTACAATCAAGTTCTTCGTACAATAATCGAAAATTACTTTTTTCTATTCTTTCAGTTGACTCATTTCGTTCTTGCAAAAGAATTGAAACATTGCAAAAGTGTTGATGAATTGCAATGCAACGATAATGTTAAACACAAGGCTAAAGATTTTGTACGTAAGTATATGAGTAAGTTTGGGGCAGTATATCAGAAAGCTACGGATGAAGATTAATGATAAGTGATGTAACGTAATTTTGTAATTTATTACATATAACTTTTACCACTGCAAATCCCCTTAAAATAGCACTCATATGTAGATATATTCATAATAGCGGCGACTCTTTAAGGTAGTTGAATAACTTTGCCTGAACGTGATAATTAATTGCGTATTTTAAATGTTAATAGGCGAGTTATTATTTTTTTTTTTTATTTAATGTGTTTTGTACAAATCTAAAATTCGTTCGAAACATAGACTTTTTCATGTTGTTCCTTTTATAAATATCAGGTTTTACAATATATGTATGTTTCAATTTAGAATACAATATTAAGACATTTTCATGAAAAGAACTGTAGCTATTGGTTAAACTGTTGTTAATAATGACTTCGAATTACTTGTACTGAAGGATGTCTTGTAAATACAGCTCGATGTAAACGAGTTTATGTTAGTGTCCTGTTGTTAACTGATTTTCGGAATTCATATTCAAACCTATATATGTATTAGAAATGATAATAATACAATGTTCAAATCATTACATTGGTACATTATGATAACAGAAAATCGATATTTGAGTTTTAGTATATTACTGAATTTCAATATGAATTTACTTCATAATATATATTTTATAAACAATTTAACAATTCTAATTAAAAATGTACTGCATTAGATCTCTTAAAAATAATGGTTGGATAAAACTAATAGCAAATGAACCTTGGTATTCAAACAGTATTCTAAATAGTATTTAATTTTTTAAATATATAATTTATACATTTAACGTTTCACAACGATAATTAAAACATTCATAAAATATTTTTTGAACCTCTAATGTTCATCCACAAGAAAATCACCATAATTTCAAGTGGAAGTTTTGTTATTATGCCATTGTACAGAATTACTTTGTTTGGAACATTTTAAATATTATGTTTCACTTCTCGAAGAATTTGATGATAGCTTGCCTGTAATAAAATAAATAGTTACTGACTGCTGGTATTCTTAAATTGTATAATATATGTATATGAAAGTATTTTCAATAAGTGTTTCGCATTGATATTAAATTTCTTCACATCTTTAAATCAATTATAAAATAACTATTTCATTACTAATATTAAAAAACCACTAACTTTGAGAGTAGTAAACATGATTCCATCTTCCCCATTTTGTAAATGAGGATCCATGAAATCCTCAATAAATTGAATTTCACTTCCCAACTGCGATACACTTGACCTGATTACTACGAAAGTAAATACAGGCAAAAGCTCATCCATCGTCCATAAATATGCACTACCTAATTGCGTATGTACATCCTAAAAGAATAATATATTCTTAGAATTCATATTTTAAGTACAATGAATGAACTAAATATAAATCGCATATGATTTTACTTTTAGAAGACTTGATTTTTATGTATATATAATGTTTAAAATAATTGAATGTTGAAGTACACATGGTTATAAAGACGTTTCTATACTATAAATATCGTGTTAGAAGAAAGTTCTGTATTGATAAACATAGCTATTGGTCAAGTAAAACTTTACCTGCGTTATCTGCTCAAATGTTCTTTTAATGACTAATAATTTTTCAAACGGCGAAAAGGTAGTCTTTAATTGCTGTAAAGTTTCTGCTGCCTCAGAAAACAATTCTTTACCATTGCCTTGTACATGTTGTTTAATCGCTGTACTATTTTGCCAAAATTTCCTGCGATGCCAACAAATATTATCTAGTTATTAGTATCTGACTATACACAAGTTATAATACGATTTTTATACTTAAAACTTACGAGTCGATATCTAAAAATCTCATTAATGTCGAGTCATCCTTCCTATTCCATTTTAACAATTTTTCCCAGTACGTATCATTCTCCTCTTTGTTATGCATTGCATACAACACGAACAAGACAAAATGCACCCGAGGAAGTATTATTGGGCAAAGTATGACAAAGACACTTATTTTTTTGCTAAATAAATCAGACAACAGTGTCTTTAATTAAGAAGTAAAATAGCAAATCAGTATCGCAAACAAGACCAAACTAATTATACGACTGGGTCTTTGATTTTTTTTCTTTAATCTTACATTTGTTTAAATGGCTAATTAATGATACATTAAATTTAGTCTTTACCTGTCTCCTTTCTCCCCTTCGATTACATACTCTTGATTTCCTTTTGGTAATATTGGAAAAAGTATGATAAGTACGTCATACATTCGTGAAATAATACTTTGGAGTTCAGACACGGCATGCGTTAATAATAAAGGGTGTACCCTCACTCCACCATATGTTCCCGTGTATACTGTAGTCAATTCGGTTAATAGCGTCCCCAATGGATGATGGGTGCATTCAAAAGCTCTTGTTAAGTATTTGTTTATTTGTTCGTAACTGTCAAAGGTTAACCTATCACTTCCAAAACAAGGGATTTTATTTAGATCATCTGTCGACTCTGTTCTCTTATTTTGCGGACTATGAATGGAGCAGTTCTTTGACACAGTTCTCTGATACGATTTTGACATAAAAACGGCAACATTTTGCCACACCTTATTAGATTGTGTGATATTTGTCTCGTTAGAAATATCTTTACCGTTACATTCTGAAATTCCCAATTGTTCGTATAATTGATGAAATATAGACCTCCATTTTTTATCAGGTGGCACGCAAAGTTTTCCGAAAGACCTAAAAGATGCATAGAACAATAATGTATTTTCACAACGACGTTAACATGGAAAATTAATTTGTTGCAATAACTTACGGAGGTTTCATGTCGGTATTTTTGCTATTATCATATGCATTCATACGTAAAGTGGCTGCCACTTCTATTCCTTCATTCCACATGCCATTCATATTGCCTTCTATGCTGACACCGCTATTAAATCTCAGGGTACCTTTGCCACAAAATACACCTGCTGACTTAAATCCTCCTTCATAATATGAACCATTTTCAAAGACCATAATTCCATATCCCTAAAATAAATATACTGTATGTAGGAGCTGGTATGTTAAACTGAATATTGCAATATGTCAAATATAGTGAATGTTACCGTAAGAACATTCTGCATGAATATCCCTTCATAATAAATGCCATCTAATGTAACAATTAATCCACAGCCATGTTTCATATCGTTACTCCAAGAACCCAAATATTTCTCACCTAAAATTTTGTCATTTAGTATAAGTTTTAATTAACAATTTCAAGGTAAAACTTGCAATTGTGAGAAATTCATACCTGTCATGATATCATCCATAACTCCGTAGCCTTGTTTCATCCCAGCTACCCACTCACCGATATATATGGACGCAATTGAAGATGTAAAAGAACCTTCTTTTCTAATACCGTGACCATGTGGCAGTCCATCCTTAAAATATCCCTCATAAATATCCCCGTTACTATACCTATGAATTACATATTTTCCATTACAGAGTCGATGCATCAGGTTTTTCTGAAATCCAGGAGAATTGGGGAGCTTACTTCATTATACCATATCCATTTTGTTTATTATCTTGCCATTGCCCTTCGTAGGTACTTTGCGAAGGTATTTCCATTTTGCCACTTCCTTGCATTACTCCTTTATGAAATTCTCCTACATATGTTGTGCCATCCGCCCATTCAAGTTTTCCTGTTCCATGTGGTTTACCATTTGCCCAACGACCTATACATGACATTAGTATATTCAATTAGTAAACAAAGATTTCTATTAGAAATGTATACCTTTATCTTCTTATCTTCTACATCATTCATCCAAACATACATTGAATACTACCAATATGTAGGTAAATCACTAACCGGTAAATTTTGCATTTTTAAAAACACTGTGTTTAGTGAAATAGAATGAACTGGATCGCACGATTAGTGGAGAGTAACGAACTATTGATCCTAGATGACATTGAATAGTTCTTTGCAATGCTTGCAGCCACTCGCTACGTTCAGCGGGCGAGGACGTGTATAATGTGAGATTTTCTTCAGGTGTAATAACTGATATTGCATTCTGAAACATACATAATAATTATTAATTTTCCTGACGGTTTAATAATTACTAAACTATTTTTTTCGTATGCACTTTTTTCGTGTTATTTTTTAATTAAATCTTAAAAACGGTTTTCAGTTCGTTACATTTTTTAATAAAACAAGTGGTTCTGTCGAATTACCCGTAGAAGTAATGTCATGTTATTTCAATCTTTCCTGTTGAGCGATATAATCGCCTTTGAGGAATGTAACTTTATCAGAATATAATTACACGTCCAAGAAAATATCTTGGCTTTTGTGTCTATCGCTATTTAATTAATATTTACTTTTATATTATAAAACCTATTAAATGTTACATCAAAGAAAATACCTGTAGTAAATCAGTGTCCTGTATGGGTTCCACCCATAATGTTTTTAAAGGCAGAACGGACACCCAAGATCCAGTAATGTGAAGAAATTGATCGTTAAATAAAATAAATCTGTGTGATAACGAAAATCGTCCTGCACTGAGAAGCCATATGGGATGCACATGTGAATCTCTAACGAGACGCCTGTTAGGTAATCGAAATGGTTGAACTAACTTATCTGAATTTTCCCAAAATACTTTTGTTGCCTCCGCTTCTTTCTGGCGTTTTCTCTGTTCATAACAAATCTTTTTCCATTTATTATAGGCTTCATGAAGTGGTTCAACCGCTTCTTTCAATTGGTTACAGTCACTTAATTTTTGTACTAGAGTTTCATACCTGTAATAGAATAGTTTATAACGAATGAAAATGAACATCTAAAACAGAGAAATGTAGGTGACGTACCTTTTCAGGGCGCATAATGGATATTGTAAGGCCATTAATATGATTAATTCATTATTGTTTTTTATACCACTAGAATCTTTAGCATGTTCATAGAATAAATTCGACAATGTTTGAGAAACACTAATTATCTTTGCGATATGCATAAAACCACCTAAAGCAATGATATCACATATTGCTTTTATATATGACTTGTATACAGTAATGTGTTCCTTAATATTTGCAACTATTGCTATTTCATAAGATTCGCAAATATGATTGCAATAATTCTGTAAACTTAAAACATTTAAAGCTGTTAAACACATGACTTCAGTATAGATATTGCACACTGTTTCATAAACATTTGATTGATGAATTGCACCACCCAATTTTTCAAAAGGCCTTATCAAGTTTTGATACACGGTCACTATTTCCTCCAAGAATATTTGTTCCTGTTGTAGTTCTGATGTTATATCTTGGACACTTTGAAGGGTCACATAGCAACAACTATATATACCAGAACACATAATTTGCTTCATGTTAAGCTCGCTACTTTTTAAATCATCCAAATAGAAGAATTCTTTCTGCTCACTGAAATCAGAAAAACTTTGTACTCCATATCATCATTCACATACTTTGGCCTTCTAAATCTAATATACAAACCTTGTCTCACCCAAAAAGTGTAATTGCAAATGTGACATTATTAAACTATGTTTGTCTCCAGCAGCTATATCAACAGCTACAACTCTTTCTCGCGAAGTTGAGGATTTACCAAATAACTGAGGTGAACTTTGATAAGAAAGGGAATCTGTTGATACTTGTTTGGAATTATTTCTACCCCAATGATATACTCTACCATCTAAGGTAAGTACAATTGTATGATAATGGCCAGAGACAACCTTTGTGATTCCCATATAATGAAATTTTGTTGCTGAAATTGGTTTGTCTCTTTGTATCATATCACCAGTCCCTAATTGTCCATGTTGATTGCTGCCCCAAATCCACAATTCCGAAACTAATATGCTTTTTCCTGCTTGAACTAATAAATTAATCCCTTCTTGTAAATTATGTTCTGACAAATCATATTCCGATGATTCTGTACTTGAGAAAAGCTCATCATAGCAAGAACTGTTCGAAGTTTTGTTTTTGAGTGTTGTATCTTCCAATTCAAGCACTTCAAAGTTTTTACCATCATTGCAAACATCATGGTTATTAGAGTTTCCACTTATATGCTTGGATACAGTTTTTACACTGTCATGGATTGCTTGATGTACGTAATAAGCCATGTTTGAAACATTTTGTTTTATCAATCTAGTAGGTCTATCTGTACACTCAGCCAGCAGTCCTTCTCCAACATTTTTATAGGACGATACCCATGATAATTGTCGTGTTAGAAATTGTTGTGCAGATTCATTTTTAATAAATATTAAGTTCTTCTTTTCTTCCTTACCAGAATCTGTGAAACTACTTGAATGTTCATCACTGTCCAAAAATGAATTCTCTGAATTAAGTAGATCTTTTGGAGAAGAAATAGCTTCTAGTGGTTTATTTTCAAGCGATAAAGTATGGGAATTATTTACAGTTTTTTTTTGTTGGGCATAAACTTCTAAGGCACTAGTATTTGAAGATTCCATACTTGCACGAATATTTGTCATATTGATTACACACTGTGGACATGAACTTATAATTACGTCCTGCTCAGGGTTTTTTTCACTATCAGAATCATCATCAGTGGACGTTAAAGATTTTCTTGTAAGTGCAATTTGAAAGTTAAACCCACAAGCAACTTGAAAAACATGGTGATTTTCAAAAAATATAACTTTCTTTGGCTGTACAGTATTTACATTAATTTGAGGTTGTTTTCCACTAGCCCATAATTGTCCATTCTGCGTCACAAAAAGTGCTGCGTCGTCATTCACATCTATTGATCTTACTTTTAAAATATTTTCTTCTTCTACATTCCTGAAACAGTTACATTTTTTTTTGTGTACAAACAATTTAATAACAACTAAAGAAATATTTATTAACTTATATATTTTCCATTCAATATCAAAATATAAATGCTTCTGACAGGAGCGACAATTATTTAAGGATAATAATTTTAACTTATTGTAGAAAAATATAGATAGAAAACATACCCATGAATGCATTGTCTTAATTCCTCTTTTAAGATTATCGTGTCAACAATGGTAAGATCAATAGGATTTATTTTTAGAACATGACCTTCTGGATTTACAACAAATACGTATTTTGAATTAGAAGATATATCAGTAGCATGAAAATCTGTTCGGTTAAACACAACAGAGGGTGAATTATTTGTAATTTTGACTTCTCCATAATACAGATCACAGGTTGTTGTCGCTATGAATACATAATCATTAATAGTGACCAATTTGGAAATTGCAGCATTTGGCTCATCACAGAAAGTAATCAACACTCGACTATCATTTCGCCACAATAATATGGATTTCTCCATACTCTATTTGCATGTACTGAAAGATGACAGTTAACATAACCTATACAACATTGCAGTAAAATAGTACGGTGCTATCTTAATCCCATTTGGTTATTTCGTCACGTTAATAAAAATAACTTTAATGTTGATACATTCGTTTCATAAGATACTTGAAACAATGTAATAATCCCCATAATTAATGAGCTTAATTTTGCGGTAGAAACAGTCAATTGAAAGTTACAACACTGTTTACACGTTTACAACTAGAGTTGAACTATTTCTATCGAAACAAATTTTGTGAGGGAATACTTTTTCATGTGCGATAACGTCCAATCTAGTGTTACCTATTTCATAGATGTAACGAGCCACTCGCTCTCGGGAAACATGCTGCCATCTATAGCGCATTATCCAAGCTCCTTACTATGCGCAGAGATGGCGGTAGATTCGAGCACTTCAGCGCTCCACGGGCGCCACAGACCACCGGCCAACCTGACAACCAGAGGGACCAGCACCAGTCGTCACAATCGATCAGAGATAATTTGGGAGATTGCTCACGGGAAGGATTGTGAGATCGCATCCTGTGCTGCCCTCTGGTTTCGTACGTTAGCTTTCACCGTTTTTTGCCCCCAAGGGCGGCGCAACGAATTTCTCTGCGGCAACTCTCCGGCACTCTCCGGCACTCTCCGGCACTCTCCGGCACTCTGCGGCACTCTTCGGCACTCTCCGGCCCTCTCCGGCCCTCTCCGGCACTCTGCGGCAACTCTCCGGCACTCTCCGTCACTCTGCGCCCACTCTCCGGCACTCTCCGGCACTCTCGGGCACTCTGCGGCAACTCTCCGGCACTCTCCGGCAACTCTCTGGCACTCTCCGGCTCTCTCCGGCACTCTGCGGCCACATTCCGGCACTCTCCGGCACTCTGCGGCAACTCCCCGGCACTCTCCGGCACTCTCCGGCACTCTCCACGCAATCTGCGGCAACTCTCCGGCAACTCTCCGGCACTCTGCGGGAACTCCCCGGCATACTCCGGCACTCTCCGGCACTTGTCGGCACTCTGCGGCAACTCTCCGGCACTCTGCGGCAACTCTCCGGCACTCTGCGGCAACTCTCCGGCACTCTCCGGCACTCTCCGGCCCTCTCCGGCACTCTGCGGCATCTCTCCGACACTCTGCGGCACTCTCCGGCCCTCTCCGGCACTCTTGCGGCAACTCTCCGACACTCGCCGGCACTCTCCGGCACTCTGCGGCCACTCTCCGGCAGTCTACTGCGCTTAACAACGCTCAACGGCACTGTACGGCCTGCGATAAGGCTTGGAAACACTTGAAATACGCGCGAAAACGCTGGAAAACGTTCAAAAACACCTGAAAAACGATCGATAACGCTCGAAAACCCTCGGTAACGCTCGAAAACACTCGAAAATGGTTGAAAAACGCTCGAAAACCTTCAAAAAACGCTAGATAACGCTTGAACACGCTCGAAACCATTCTGAAAATGATCGGGAAACGCTCGAAAACGGTCGAAAAACGCTCGATAGCGCTCCAAAACACTCGAAAACGGTTGAAAAACGCTCGATATTGCTAGTAGGGAAATGTAAAAATCATACGCGAAATGACTCGGCTTATATCCGCAGTTAGGTAAGCCTCGGGAGGATTTTTCACAGAATTCGACTCTCACGCATACTCGTCGATGTAGCGCCGAACGCACATATATTCAACATCTCGACCCGTAGCTTGGCGCTTGGCTGATTGGGACGCGCGAAGATTTTTAGGAGCGATCGCACTCACGCAGATTCGCAGAATGAGAATTCCGTACGCGACACCGACGCGTGCCCCAAAGCTCCGCATCACGTCGACTTCGAGGCAGCAATGTACATAATAGTAGTAGATAAGTAGATAAAGTCTAATGGAGCGTTACGAATGTTCTTCCCTTACCCTCAAAAGCGAGCAGTGTTGGTAAGCGTAGGTAAGCCACCACCGTCAACTGCCGCATGGTATTACCATCACGAGTACGTGAGCCGCAAACGGCGACTGGTAGATGGTACCGCCATCGCGAGTGCGCGAGCTCCTATCAGAAATTCGTTGCGCCACCCTTGGGGGCAAAAAACGGTGAAAGCTAACGTACTAAACCAGAGGGCAGCACAGGATGCGATCGCACGGCCCTGCCCGTGAGCAATCGCCCCAACTCATCTCTGAATCGATATTTCATTTACACTACAGCGACAAACGACGGGCACGAAGAGCGAATAAAAGGTTTTGATTGGACATACGGCGGAGTTCCCCCATTCCGCTGTTTCCATGTAACCAATTAGAATCTCTTCTACACATCACTGATAAAGCATAATCCTCACAACTCGCCTTGCAGTTAAATCACCTGGTGGAAACATAGTTCAGTGGAAATGAACCGAAAGGCCAGTTACAAAACGACTGCGAGTGGCGGCCATTATCTGTCCAGTTAACATTTTAGTATATATATTGGAGTAAGAGAGTGAATATTTATAATATGTTTTATAAAATCGGTGACAAAATAAGATATTTATAGACATGTTTGATTCCTACAATGTTACGTCGTTGATTGACCTCTTCTCAATTAATAAATCGTTTTTCAGCAAAAATGTTTGAAATTTATGCACGTGGATAGCATGCGCTTGCACATGCGCACTGACTCCATTCTCGTTCCGCTTTGCATCTGGTTCAGTTGCGAGCAAATGGCGTCGTATGGATGGAGTTCATTGCGTCAAATTTCACAAATGATGAATGAATTCTAAGTTTAACTATGAATTTCCCATAAATTAAAAAGAAAAAAGATTAAGGTAAGGCATTGCTATGTTTGGATACCATTTTTGAGATTCCATTTGCTTAGTGTTAGCCGTAAAGTGATGATTTTTGAGCGGTGTCATAAGTTTGTAAACAAACGCGGTATTACCAAAGTACTGTCATACAACCTGTAACCATACAAACTATAACAATACATGCTGCTAATGGAAATTCCAATAGTTGGATTGTACTTAAAATTATATTCTTTATAAGAGTAATTAATTATAATCAAAATGTAGTCTTCTGAAAGGGCCATTCATTTAATACTATTTTTTTAAAATCATCTTTATCATATAAATTGTCTATTATATGTTATGCATGGTTCATTTTTACATTTAGTGTCAATAGTAATGAGGATAGTGAAACGTATCTCTATTGTTTTCATCTAACATGCTAATTTCTTAATAATAGAGTAACTGTCGTGGTTTCGGAGAATAATATTTAGGTAAAAGTGAATATTATATGTACTATGTCTTATAATTATGGACACTTATTTATTTCTAATACTATAATAGGGAAATATTTTAATACAATGAACGAAGTAAGTGGAGGAAAACAAGAAATAGCCAGTACATCAGCTTGGGAAACATTATCAGGACAGTCGGTTTCCTCTTTACCAGCCATGCATCATCACCATGAAGCATTGCCACAAGAAATAAGTCCACCAGTTACACAAGTAATTGTCCCTACACCTGTAAAACTTCAAGCTCCTGTATTACCACTGCCACAGAATGTCATTGAGCATTGTTCACCTCTTGCTCATATACAACAACCGTCTCTGATTCCGCAAGTAAGAATTGAACTCAATAAATTGTACCGTTCTTTCATTATGAGTTAATTTTTATTAGGAAAGCGTAGCATTCACCCCGTTTTCCAAAAATAACTTATGAAATTTTAGAATACTACACCTACTGGATTTACGGAACCAGAATTATCCCCTGAACTTCAGCAACAAGGTTGGAAGAAATTTTGGAGTAAACGAGAAAATCGGCCATATTTCTGGAATAAACTAACTGGTGAATCGTTGTGGGTTATGCCTTCACTCAAACCTCAGGTAATCAAATTTTCATCACAACGTTTTCAACTTAACACGTATGCTTTGTGATATTGTGTGCTATACAAAAAATTCTCATTGTAGTTTGATCCAATTACTGATCCTTTGGGTATATGTGGCGTACCACCTATGCCTGGAAATGGTCCTTTACCTCCTGGTACGCCAGGAGGCACGTTGAAGCGTCGAGCTTCTGAGGATGGGAATGCCGTACTTGCTGCAAAGAAGTTTGTTTTAGCGTATGTGAATATTTCATATTTATATTATTACTCATTACATCGGTAGTAACCTATTTGTTAATATTATATATTTACTTATAAATCAATTGTATCATTAAGATTTTCTCTTTTCTAAAATAATAGGGGCCCTTGGGATTTAGAAATACCAACTAATGTGATAATATACGAGAGAGCACCATCTAATTTGCCACACGTTCATCCTGAAGCGGAAGCATTGCGATGTGGTTTACTTTCAAAATTGAGGCAGTGCTACCAAGAATTATGTCATACTCGAGAATCGATAGATGCTCCGAAAGATTCCTTTAACCGTTGGTTAATGGAGCGAAAGGTGATCGACTGTGGTTCCGATCCCCTGCTTCCAAGTCAATGTTTCCCTGAAATTTCAATGTCAATGTATCGTGAGATCATGAATGACATTCCTATAAAACTTGTAAGACCAAAATTTACTGGCGATGCTAGAAAGCAGTTGTCACGTTACGCCGAAGCTGCAAAAAAAATGATCGAATCAAGGGCAGCTTCACCCGAAAGTAGGAAAGTGGTAAAGTGGAATGCCGAAGATACGTTTCAGTGGTTAAGGCGAACAGTTGGTGCAACATTTGACGATTTCCAAGATAGACTAGCACATCTTAAACGTCAATGTCAGCCACACTTAACCGAAACTGTAAAGGCTAGCGTTGAGGGCATTTGCTTAAAAATCTATCATCTATCCACCGAGTACGCAAAAAAAGTAAAAGACAAAAATAATCAGATTTTAAAAGACAATGGTCTGGGGGATGTTATTCCCTTAGGTGGACCTGCCAGTACGCAAAGAAAAGTTTGGTGTTACCCGGTGCAGTTTTCTCTTCCATGTCCACGACTTCCACAAGTAGACTACATTCCGGAAAGGGAGCAAACGATGTTGCGCTTCCATGGGGATACCATGTGCATCAATAACTTGCACTTAACTAAACTCGAGCACCTTTACAGGTATAATTGTTTCGATGATAAGAAGTTTGAAATGTTTCTACCCAGAGTGTGGAGTATGCTAAAACGGTATCAAACCTACCTTGGAATAAACGAAGGGCATGCAACGCAAATGGCACTGCCTGTCACAGTTTTTGAGTGTCTACAAAGATCATTCGGAGTGACATTTGAGTGTTTCGCTTCACCACTGAATTGTTACTTTAGGCAATACTGTTCAACGTTCTCGGACACAGATTCGTACTTTGGATCAAGGGGACCGTTTTTAGATTTTCGGCCCGTAAGTGGATCTTTTCAGGCCAATCCACCTTATTGCGAAGAACTCATGGAGGCAATGGTCAATCATTTCGAACGTCTTTTGGCTGATTCGGCTGAGCCTCTGTCCTTTGTGGTTTTCCTTCCGGAGTGGAGGGATCCAGCACCCAATGCTTTAATTAAACTCGAAAGCAGTCACTTTAAACGAAAACAAGTTGTTGTACCAGCCATGGAGCATGAATATAGACATGGTTTTCAACACATTCTACCTAAGTATGTATCGTTACAATCGTGGAGTTAATTTCGCTGTACGAAATAATTGTTCTTCTAATTTATCTAACGAAAGGAAATTCTAAGGGTACTATCACGTTACGCATTTTAGAGGAGAGGTGAACATTAGAGCAGCTCATGGAACGCTGGTTGTTTGGCTGCAAAATGCAGCAGGAACGACTCGCTGGGGACCTACCGAAGAACGCGTTGAAGCATTACTCGAAGCTTGGAGGCCTGGTAGAGAAAGAGAAAGAGACAGACAGGAACTTCTTTCTCCTCCAAGACAAGCTCATCAACAAGCGATACCGGCCACACCGCTCCCTGTACCGACTACTCCATCAACCCCAACATTGCCGACATTATCCACTCTAACGACTCATCCTATGTAATTACAAAGTTTCATTTTTCTAAGTGCGCTTTTTGGCTCATGAAACAAAGGCAAAATTCAACACTCCTGAGCAGGGATTCCGTACGCCAATTCGGTGGCTATCGATATCGTTAGCCTATTGGAATAACACGAGTAACGTATCCGTAGCTACCGAATTGACGTACAGAATTCCACCTCTGCTTTGCATATTAGCAACTCAGGATGTTCCGCTCTCTGACGTGGTTGGACGTTTAATGTTTGAAGTTATGTCTGAATAGTCTACAAAATAGAGTACGTTTAACACCAAGTTGTTCGAAACTTGAAATGGTTTAAAAGTCCACAGAAGGAAAGAATTGATTTAAGAAAAAGAAATGCTAAAATCATTTTGTTAGAAACATTAATGACTTTTATATCGAAACTCACAGTTAATGATTTGATAAGAGAACAGGGCCTGTAAACTACAAACAGATGCCCCTCTATAAATGTCAATTGTGTTCCTAGTATTTCACGATTCGTCTTACTTCTGATTTTTGAGAATTCACTTACTTTCTCAAGCGATTTGGTTTAATTACTGTGGCAAAAAGTAAAAGCAAAATTCTTTTATAAATTGATAGATTAGTCATCATAATGATGACTATATATCTATTGTATAGGTATACAGAGAGAACGGCACACGTAGTCTACATGATTCAGAAAGTCTGATGTCTTGAAATTACTTGTTCGTTGTTGCTAATCGATGCACTGGATTGTTCGAAATGTGTAGACTATTAGAATTGTAGATATACTTGCCATGCAAGCTGAAAGGTAATGGTTATCACCGAGACCCTTGGGAAATTGAATTTTTATATAAGTATGGTAAAGGCGTTTGACGTACTGTGTAAATCTTTACATTAAAAGGAAAAAAAAAAAAGTGAATATAATTATAATAAGATATGTTGTAATTAACAAATTACACAAATAACTTGTATAAATAAATACGCATGCGCGGGCGTCCGTGCGGATGTGGTAAGAGCATACGCGTGGACTTTAAATATGAAAAAGTATAAATAACAATTTCGAATACTTATTAAATATCAGAAAATCTCTTCATTGTGTGAACATACATTAAAGAATGTAACGGGCAATGAAAGCTTTATGGCGAGCATAACTTTTAAAAAATAACACTTGACTTCGATGAGTAGTTTCCAGTAAAGCTCTGTACAGTTTGAGAGTGAAATTTTTACCGCAGGAGGTAAGGCAGCAAATGTATCATTGAATGCTAACACAGATTCCAATGAGATCTCACCTGCCGTGTTAAACATATCTACTGATCGATTAAGATATCGATGACAGAGGCAATAACACTTATGATTGACATGTTTTCTGAGGGTGAAAAGCGCATATCGTAAAACTTCTAGACACTCGTTGCAGCACAAAATATCCGAATGGGTTCAAACCTGTCGATTATGTACATATATACACCTAGCATAGTTATGGACTTATTTTATTATTCTAAGTAGCAATTAATCTTGGCTTCTCATACTCCACTCCTGCAATATGCGCTGGCTTTCTTTTACTGATCACGTGCATTCATCGCGTTCCTTACTCCTCGAGTAGCTATACATTCATAGATTTTGTACATTTTTATTAGCACTACATTGTACATACCTATAGCGTCTTTGAATCTGGAACGATTATACTCATTCGACTGGTAGTAGATAAGACAATAGAGTCTACAAATTGGAACTATAAATTCAATTTTATCGCGTCGTTTATTTTACGTGGTAGGTGAGAAGCATCCAACATCGGTGATAAATGTTATCACTCTCATGTCACGAATGTAAAGTAGTGCAATTCAAAAGGTTATGATTCCGTTGATGAATATCTTTACGTGCAAAATCTAAAGAAATACGAATTATATATTTGTATTCATTTGTAAAAAGATTATTAATGCTGGAAATTTAAATAAGTAATGTAAACTATAACGAAATCTGTTTTAAATGTAAATATAAGAACGATTCGTGTTGAATACTTGAAGCACAGATAAAATACGAAATGCGCAGTTTGCTGAAGGGGGTTGTTGTATTCAGTTTGTATCAGCCTTGTAGCATCGAACTAGCAACAATTTATTTTCAAATGAATTTCTTTAGCGTCCAGATAAAGAATATTGAAAAAAAAGGTTTTTCACAAGTTTATATGTCACGGGATATCAGATTCAGATTCAACATAACTTCCTGTTGTAAAATATGTCGTTAATAAATAATTTTATAGGGTTTAAACTCTTGAATTTCCAATCGATACGATCTGTTGGCAATCTTTTTTGTGCAGTTCGGCCTATTAAAAAAATGTGTATAATACGTGAAATAAATATTGAGCTTTAGGTGCCGCTCTAATCATTAAACATGTTATTATTTTTTTTTTCCTTCAATTTACTTCGCATTACTTATGCTTACACGTATCACAATAAAATGTGATCGAATTCTTTAAAAGTTTCAATTAAGGGAGACATTATATCTTATTAACACTGTGTATGTATAGATTGTGGAGATTTTATATAAGTATAAAATAGAAACGAATGAGATCGTTTTCCAGTAATTAACAGAAATTTTGATTTTGTTGTTTAACTTGACAGTGTACATTCGAAAATTATGTGAACGATGAGAGATTAATAGTACTTTTTCCGTTAACAACCTATGATGTTTAGTCATTTTAAAACCAATACTGTGTTATTTTGTTTTAAGGTCTAAGAGTTTCTTATAATAGATAGCATTTATTTTTAACACTATAGATTAGAAAACGAGATCATTATGAAAAACACGGGGTAGAAGAAATTGAGAGGCACTGAACACTAAAAAGTGCATACGCATTTTTTAAGCGCAAACAATTCTTTCGCATGCGAACTAAATGTTAAAGACGTGGATGTACTAAATCAATCAGTGCATTATAATTGCCCAAGAAATTGTAAATCGTAATAAGGAAATGACTTACCTTTCGATTTTTATAAAAATTGTGAAGATCAACTATTCTAATATAGTTGGTTTGTTATTATGATACGCGAGTAAATGCTACAGATGAGAGTGGAATTGAAAGACATTTGAATTTCCATAAGTTGATTTTTTATTAACATCAACAGTTTGTTAGAGCAATGGCACATTTATACTAAAAATGTATTAATACAAACATTATTTTACATTTTCATAACGGCAATTTCACCAATGATAATACTAGGAAAATAATCAATTAGCGACTATGATGAAGACATAAAAATTAAAAAAACTACTTGACACCCTAACAATTGCTAATACGAGGTGTTAATCAAGTATTATTTTAATTTACGCCAAGCTGCACCTGAACTTAAGGACATTAAGTTGAGGGTAGTTTTTGCTGTGTAACTAAAGTGTCAAAATATGTTCTTTAGGCATATGATGGAACACATCTACTGTGCAATAGTAGAGTGAACACGATTGTGAATACAAATTTTTAACCGTATTTCGGGAAAAGTGAAAAATTTGAAGATTTTAATATGATGTAAATTATTAAGAAAATGTTATAACTGCAGATGAATAAATTGGTCTTATTTATAAAAAATATATTTCTCTGATTGTGGGCTTTCGTTTACTAATCACCTTTATAAATCTAGGGTTATTATAAATTGTTTACTTCGAGAGAACGTGCCAATTTTAAAATCAGTCTTTTTGTAGTCCTAAGTTACAGTATGGTATATTTTTATGTAATTGGTTTACGTTTCTGCATTTAAAATGTTTACAACACAGCATTTATGTCATTTAGAAGATCTTCTGGTTTATCAGTAAACTGAAATAGAGAATAAACAGATTTTTCTTTGGCATCTTCAATGAAATGTTCCAAAACAGTCTTTATTTTACCAAGATCAAACAAGCAATGATTAGTTCCAAGATGCCATTTTTTGAAACTTATTATTTCAGATTTATTTATCAGACTATTCAATCGTCGCCTGGCAATAAATAACAAAAAGTCATAAAACTGAGAGTAGTCCATTCCATCGGAGACTTTTAATAAAAGCTGGCAATGTGGTACCCAATCATCCATATCTTGACAATCTTCGACTGCCTTCATTACAGCTAATAACCCTTTTTGCAAAGCAAGCCAAACATTCCAAATATTGCAACCGTTTATCCAATTGTGATTGATGGAAATTGTGTCCTCCTATATCAAGAATAATCCTTAGCATTATTACCATAATGTATATTAGTATTGATTCACTAGAGTAAATAAAAAAATACAGAAAACGAAAGAACAATTAACTATTCATATACTGGATCGTTGTTTCATTTAGATGTGGTGACAAAGTATATGCATATACTTATTCTTTTATTGCTATTATTAATGGTATGTTTATCGTGTACTTACTAAATTCCAAACTTGGTGATGCCAACCAGACGGTACAAATATTATTTGACCAGCATCCTGAATTATTTCTAGTTTCTTTAACGACTCGGTATCATAGTCTTTGTACTTAATACGATTATTAAATTCTGGGGAAGTTGCATCATATGGTAGATGTCCATGTGAGTCTCGAAGACAATTCTCTTCTCCTGGTGGAAATAAGAGCCAACGTTTCTTTCCAATAATATTTGCGGACCAACTGTACGATGTTAAGACATCTACATGAAGTGGAGTCCTTGAAATTAAAATTATATATAGAAAAGTATATAAATAAAAGGCTTAACATGTATTAATTACCATGATCCTTTAGGTCCCATATAAATAAACATATAGTCATCGTTCAATTCCGTAGGATGTGCTATGTAATATTCATTTAACCAATCCGAAGCAAAGAAAGAAGGTACTTCGTATAAAGGAACATCAGGAAAATTTTTTACACAATGCCAATCTTTTAAGTATAATACTGGTTTATCCAAAGAATAATTAGTATTTCGGTAATCGATCCAATAATCTATGTACTCATTTATTGTCATACTTTGTTTCATCTGTGCATTGTAATATTCTTTATTACAATTTGCCACTGGAACTACAGCATTACCTATTTAGACGGTAAAAATGATTTTTTTTTACTCAAATGATTACCATTTCTACAAAAGTCTTGAAGTAGTTTCGAAGGGAAAATTTTGATTTAATATCGATAAAAACATGAAAGCATGTTTACGTACCAAATACCCTTCGAAGGAATTCAAAATTTGGTGCATCGTTCAGGGTGAAATTACTTCTGGATGCCCAGTCATCCGTTATTTTTGAATCGATAACACAAGGTTTGTTACCGATCAGATATTTGAAGAAAAATTCATTATATGTTAATACATGACTGGTGTGGATCTCAAGATCTAATGTATGATTAGCCTTATTACATGTGACAGGCTTTATATCCTCAATTTCAATCGTATTCATTGGACTACCGTCATAAAACCTTCCAAATGGAACTTTGAATAAATAACAGAATTAATGTTAAAGAAAATATCATTCATGTGTATTTCTTTCCTGATGATTAATGCGAATAACAAACAAGGAGAAGTTGCTTTTAAACACAAGTAAGTCGACATAACGAGCAGTATATGTATGTATGTAAGTACTTACATACATACTAAATGCTTGGGCTCGCATCTCTTGCCTGCATACTACGCACATGCGCAAAAGAGTGTCGTCTAATGCGCGCCGATTTTAAATGAACTTTGATTGCTGTTAAACTCGTCCTCGTTATATCCGTGCCGGCATCATAGAATTACAATATTGGTCGAAGTCAATTAAATGCTCCTGTATGGCTGTTACTATATTGCACCACGCTCATTCAAAAAGGCGATAAATCTAATTACATATAAAAATAAACGATCGTTAATATTTTCAAAAATCATAATCTAGAGGGTGCCAACGAATCGAACGATTGGTCAGAGTTCCAAGATGGCGGAAAAAGTTTCAAGAAAGTTACATCGTATCAACTTTTCTCCTACCACGTTTGACGCATGCGCATAAGTAACAGTGGGCGGAGTTAGTACGGAGTTAGTATACCCTAGATGCAATTTTTAACGAATTCGAACACGGCCTTAGACCATAGATATCTAGACCTCGCATTGCAGTGGAAGGGGTAAACTCGAAAGTACCACGTGACCCGACAGCACGCCAGTGTGCATCGTGTACATGCATGCGAAGGTCGGACTCAATTAGATTTAGACGATGTATATATGCAGACTTCGCCTTGCAGTGAAAGGGGTAGTTTCAGAAACATTCTTTGAAAAGTTCTCTTGGCCCAGACATGTTAGAATTTCCAAGCTTATGAACTTCTTTTGCTTTCCTTTATCTTATATACCTTGGTTCTCCTTTATGAGCATTCTGGATTATAAGAAAAACAGGCATTGTTTAACAATATATAAGCAACATGTATATTTGACGTCCTACAAAATATCACATATAAAACGTCGGCGAGATATGTTGTGCCTAAAGGCAATAGCAATATAGGCGCATGAGAGAGTCACCGACGCAACCACCGTGACTTCCGTAGGGGTTTAGTCTGCTGATGGAGCCAGTGACGACCATGGTGCCATTGTCATTCCGGTTTCGGACAGAGCCCTCAAAGATAGCATTTCCGGGGGTGGTTTGCAGAGTCACGGTGTAGTCAGTCCAGGGAACCTTTTTATCTTCCGGCTCAGCCTTGTACTCCAAACTTTTTGCATATAATATTTTATTCAGTTTTAGGGTCGCACATTTAGGATAGTCCTTCAGCTTTTTGTTCAGTTCTCCGATAAGGAAATCTACAACCTTCACAACAGCTGGATCTTCCAATGAAACGTTGTTGCTGGTGTGGCACATACACCAATGAGCAGCGATTCCAGCCATTGAGCAAGTCCGATAGCTAGGTATCGGAAGAAACCAGCTGATACCTCGAGGCAAATTCCTCGTAGCTAAGTCCTCGACACGCCCGCTGAGAACTATTTCATCTAATTGTTGTGGATTTAACAGATCATTCAGGGTTTCATGAAGATCAAACGGGGTTGTTAGGCTGTTTGCGTTCCTTTGGATGTTCTGCCAAGCATCTGGGAACTTTTCTTTCCACCACGTTGGCAGAATCAAGAATATAAATGGAAGACTGTCCTCCACTCTGCCCTGGAATGTTTGGCGATATTCTCCCCATCTGTAAGGACACAAATCGAAGAAATACCAGGAAAGCCTTGAATTTAGAAAAGACAATGCTCCTCATATACATATCCTAGAGACAAATTAAAACAATATCTCGACGTATTTGTCGAGTTGTAGTTTAAATAACAAAATGAAGAAACGCGTGGTATTGTCTCGGACAAGTTTGTGGGTTTCGGAATATCTGATCCCTAAATGTCTATTACGTTTACCCACATGCATGTTCTCTTCTACAATCAATTGTAGAATATCGACTAAGTGCGCAAAATTTATTTCTAATTGTTTAATCAAATTTATGTAGACTCCTGGAGTCATTAAAGAAAAAAATATTTATATATCAGGATCTCTTGATGTACCCTGGCAGACATGAGTGCCTTCCTCGTGGTGACGACATTGTAAGAAGGGAAGGCGTTCTTGTCCGCCAGAGTACATACATAAATACGTATAAGCAATCGTAAATCTGTCTTAACCCCGATACCCACCTCATGCCGTGGTCGCTCATCACTATTAAAGCGGTATTGTTAAGCAGAGAACGTTCCTTAACGAAAGTCAAAAAATCGTGATAGGTGGCGTCACCCAGCTGCGGGAAGTTAAAGTAATCGTGGGTCAGACTCGCCTGCCAGATGAAGGCGAAATAGGCGTCATTGGAAAACTCCGTGGCAACTTTGCGAGCATAGCTAAGGAGGCTTTCAAAGTTCATCCTGGTGCCAAGACAGAGATTGGCATTGAGCTTATGATTACGACCAATATCGGTCTCAGAGGCGACACAGTAGGGCCTTAAGTAGTAGTCCGTCGGCTGATCTTTGAAGCCTGGCTTCAAGTAATTGAAGGTCGTCATTGAGCAAGCATCTTCCGCAAATATGGTGCGATACCCTGCCGAACTGAAGTTTTGCCAGATCAGGGGACATTTGTCGAAGTGCATCGAAGGGGAGATCTTATCAGTTCCCCAGCATATCTTATGAAACTCTTGGACGCTGAAGCCCGAGAGCACTGGCACGAGATTTGGATATGTATTGTCGGCTACTTTGTTGTACCCCAACATCTCTAGGGCCTCCAAAGAGCGCAGAGCGCTTATAGTTTTAGGCATCATTCGATGGAAGTTCAGTCTTGAGACTGAATCCAGCCCTATCACTAAAATACTGAGACGACGGGTATCAGGATCTGGGCTTTTGGCATTTCGGCACCGTTCCTCGACTGCTGACTTTCTCGGCAAAAATGCATGGTAGTCTCGATAGGTTTTCCCTTTGCTTTTACATTCTATCTTGATGAACTCCTTCATTATTGGAAGAGTCTCTGCGGTGAAGTTTTCGCAGTAGCTGTTGTATCTGCGATGAATAGAGCATGCAATTAATTTATTATAGTAACATATCTCTAACATTGAAAGTCACTAGATATCCTTACATTGATGGAAGTATGTTTACAAACTGCATGTCTACTTTTAAAGGTATGCTTCTTTTAATAAATAAATATTGTGGATCTAGGGTTTCTTACAAATGATGACCCAAAGCAACGCACGTAGTAAGCATTAAAGTATGTAAAGAAGTATTAATGTTTAGGTAAAAATAAATAATTTCGGAGTTATGGCTCAGTTGCTGGACTCATCTTTTTCGGCGATAACAACGTTAATCGTTCTTATCTATCATTCGAGAAACGGTAAACGCCCCTTATAAAAGGGTGCAACTTTGTTAGTATTACTGTTATTACGCTCGACCGTACTTTGACGGACATGGAGGCCTTCTCACTGTACATTGGCGACACCATATCCATAGGGAAGGCTTTCATGTCCGTCAGGGTACATACATAACACGAATATCCATTTCTCGAGGTTTGCATGAAGAAACATTCTCAAGATAACACTAATAAGACACCGTAGTTCAGGCTCGACATTGCCGACAGCAATTCGGGCTGTTAGAGAGGTCATCCGAGATAAATGCCTAATAATAATCTGCTGTATTTCTTGAAAACTCTTCGTTTCTAGATCCACGACTACCAATAACTTTCTGCTCAACTCTACTAATACCATCCTTCAAAATTGGGCCGTCAGTTTGGAAACACATTTCCTACGTATTGGAAAAAAGAAATCCGTCGTCTATTTCCTGTAGTGTTAGAGTTCAGCAACGTCTGAAAATGTTTTAGATCGGTACTACTAGCTTAGGTAATTACTTACTTGACACCGTTGTCTTCGTTGTCTGCTCGCCAAAAAGTCCTCCAGCAGCAATTGATTTTCTCGGACTTGTCATAATATTGGTCCCGAGTTTGTGGATTCACGTAAATCGAGGAAACGTTCGATTCGAAGAGGGGCGTCCGCTTGCCGTCCAGCTCGCAAACGATAGGATTTTCTTTGTGAACGTAGGGCTGAACGAAAGGGTCGAATGGATCCAAAGCCGGCATCGTGCATCCTCTGTTTCGTACCAGAAATCCAGATTTTGCCCTCGATGCGGTAAAGTGCGGCTTCGCTTGGACATAGCTGTCTGTTGACATTCGCAGTTGACATTAGTACAAAGACATTTTGTGGGAAATTCAGAAATTGATAACATTTTTCTCGTTAGTCATCGCTCTATCATCGCGTCGATAAAGGGGTTGATTTTTCGTCTCATTACATTGTATAATCACAAATGATGTGGTTTGTAATTTACCGTTTAACCGAATCGATTTAATTTCTCAACATTATAGTAATAACGCTCATTTGTATAGTGAGAACTAATTGGATGTCAGGTTTTGTACACTTGTTATGTGGACAGGTCAGATGTTTTTACCAATTTTTACTTACCATGGATCGTGGAATTCTCGTAATGCGAGACGTTGGATTGTCCGCTGGTGAAGCTGTTGATGGCTATCAATGACGCCAGTAGAAATATCATTACACCGATCAGCCACCTTCGCAAACGTAGAACTTTATTTTGACTTCCGACTTCGAATACCGCCTTCGCCATCCGGCGTTCATGACTCTCTTCTATCGCCAGGAATTCTTATCTGTCGCGGAGAAATTTACTTTTTTAACGGCCAGTGGCCGCGGGTCACAATCTTTCAGAGTATCATCTTTTATTACAATTACCAACGGCTGCGGCTACCTGCTATAAATATCATTGTGTTATTGAGACATTATTAGAGCAGCAGCCGGTAAAAATGCGACAGAAGTCCAGCGAGTGTGTTAATTTTCACACCGTTTTTATCAGAAGCGTTTACAGGACAAGAAGGCACAAAATTAAAAATATCAGCCTAAATGTATATCAATTTTACGTTCTATTGGGTTGTTAAGTTCGCGGTCAAATTTCTAAAACTTCATATCGGAAGGAAAAAAATGTTTTCACTTTGAATGAAGTTAAAGAAAAGAAACAAAGTTTCGACCTCTTACTTTGCTACTTTAAGATACGAAGTATTCGATCAATGCAATGCATCAAACAGTTAAACATTCGACATCGTAGGGAAGCCTAACTATCTTTGATTTTCTGCTGCCGTTTTTTAAACTCCACCGAAAGAAGAAGATATTCTTTTTTTCTCAGTGTAGGGATTGGATTTTGTCTTTTCCTTTCACTGCCCTCGGAATAACGGGCGAATAAAAAATCAGACATTCACCGGAATAAAAAAGTTCAATTCCATTCCATTCGCAATCCTCTTCCCAGGTAAACAACTCCCATCACTTCCAATAACAAAAACACTCCAGCCCGTTCCAAAAATGTTCGCGTTTCCTTCCTCCAGTCGAGTAAAACAAAGATAAACATTAGCTAGAAAAAAAAAAAAAAAAAACAATATCCCGACTCATAATTATTTGAAAGAATTCATAAGGGGCGAAGGTGCCATACGTTGGTACATGACGTGCATACCTTGTAGCTCCTTCTAGGAACGTCCTCTCTTCGTGGAGGGTGGTAATAACTAAGGTACAGGAAGCCGGATGACTTTTTCCAGATCGTCGGGGTAGTTCCGCCTCGAGGAGGCCCTAAGACCGCGAGCGCTCCCTCATCTCTCCTCGGAGGTTCCTTTCGGCGCCACCTTACTTCCTAGACCTGCTGGATTTTTCGCGCACCCGCTGTATTAATACTCGCCGAAGACGTCGAGACGTGCTCGGACGTCTCTAAGACGTGCCGACGTGCAGCCAGAGATTAATTGGAGGACGTACACGGTTCCTACTGGCCGCCGATGCGAATCTGGTCGATACCGGAGCGCGCGCGCGCTCTCTTCCAGGCAAACCGTCCACAGGCCGGTGTTAAATGCTATTTCCAATTCGCTCTCTTCCTCTAGCTGCCGACCGGCATCCGTTTTAAACGAGCGATTTCCTCGAGGAACTATCGCGCCTTATCTGGAAAATTAATTGTGCGTTACGACGATGCCGATGACAGAGTGGGAGACGAATTCGTCGGCCTGGCGTGGCGAGCTTCGTATACCTAGACAGTACGCCTGCGTTTTGGCGATGATGTTGTCAGCCCAATCGTTAGTTTGGATTTATTCACTGGAGATGATATGAAATTGGGACCGCCCAAAGGGATAATTGCCTTATCGGAGAAATTTGCCGTGTCATGGGTGGAGTTGTCGATGGGCCCTGAAGAACTCCCGCGGCGTCCCGATGCGTCTCCATGCACCTCTGCAATTTTTAACGACTTTGTCACCGTGTTATATTACTTTAACCGAATGGCGTTAAATTGAAATATAGTTTGGCCTTTGAAACTTGGCACGATATGTTGTATTGTGCTAATGTTTTGATAAGGCGGCCGACACTTTATGCGCGTGCCCCAATTTGATGCCATTCTTGTTAAGTGAAGAAATGATTCGATTCACCGGTAACAATGCTCTATAAATATTACGAATCTGTCGTTATCTTTCTTCTGTACGTTATACTGAAAATCTGTATGCAATGCAAAATATGCAATTGAAAAGTGGATATTGTGAGACGATTATTTTTCGGAGTATTACCATTTTTTCAGTAAGGTTTTATTTTATCGCGGGAAAGTAATTCCTCTGATTTATCTAATCTGCATTATCTACACGTGGACAGACTTAAAGTGCCGTGGCCGTTGACCTGTGATCTTGTAACTGGAAATGTAACTCATGTGTTTGTTTCCCAGTTTTGGGTACTGAAGCTCTAACATTGGATCGCTCGCCATATCTACTCTTCTATAGTCGACCTGAAACAGAGAAAGATGAAGAATGATGGTTCGCTGACCTTTTAGAATCCGATTCTACAAGTATATGTGTGACGAAGATGGGGCGAACAAGACGCTCCCTCTTTCTCCCTTGAACAGAGAAAGTATATCTGTCCTTATTTAATTAATGCGCGAGCACTGTCTCTACATCCGGTACAAAAGTTAATCTTTTAATTATTTGTATTACTCATCAAGTAACATACGATAAATACAAGCGAAATTATGTAAGGGAGAGAGACAGAGCGACGATGTATTTCTGTCTGTTTTATGGTATCTTACCCTATCCTAGCGACTCTGGTGGTCAAAAGTTGCATCAAAGTGTATAACACAATATCCTATAATTTCTTAATTCTGCGTCGGGCGCATGCGCTTGCTCGCTATTTTCTCATCAAAACTTTACACTATTTATGGTCCTGAATTTTCAATTATTTTGTTGAATAGCATTGAATACAATGATCTAAAAGTAAGAATATCGAAGGACCGGGAGATAAAGAATATTAGTAAAAACGGATTGCAATATTTCGGCCGTTTAATTGCGTAATCGATAGTCGCTTACCGTAGAACTTTGAAAACCAGAAGAGGAACAGTTTAGCGTACCAACCACTGTGGCGCCATCTCACGGCATCAACGTGAACCTCGGTATCCGACGTAGATCATTTATCGAATGTCGGTAATTTACTAACCGCAGAAGACAAGTTAGCATTTTGTAAATACGACAAATGGGCGACATCTTTATCCAAAAATGGTAACTATGGTACATATGTGAATATTTAATCGTATAATGAATATTGAACGTATTCATTTACATCACCCGGAACGACACCACCATGTGATCGTATTAATTTCTATAAGACCAGGATTTAGGTGTCATCACAGACTCGTTACGTAATGTATATAAAATGCTATACGAAAATAATTTTCTGTCAACGATTATACCGAATAAAAGAAACAGTAATATAAATATCGGAATTAATTTAAGGAACGTTCGTTTCTAATTTTACATTTAGATCATTTTAATGATCTATTTGAGGTAGACGATATGCATAGTGCTTAAGTCATCATCGGATTGGAATAACATACGAGCGCTCGGGTGTCGTCATAATAATAATGGTTTATTGTTGAAGTGATATAGATATAATGAATAATAACATATTTAACTACAATGATACGTATGTAATTAATAGAATCATATTTATACACGGATTATACAATATTTACAGAAACAAAACTGTAAGCAAGTTTCTCTTGGACAACGAGCGGACGACAATTATTTTCACAGGACTGACATATCAGGACATCGTGTACCGAGATGCGAACAGATCAGGACGACGATCCGAGGAGATCTTAGATTTACACGCGTGAAGTATGTATACCGTATGTAGATACATTATACATAATGCTATACCTTATCGTGTAAACATTGGCGGTATGCTATAATGTGTACATCGAGTTCTGAAGGTGCTATCGGATTTTAACTAGCATACGCATACGAACCGCACATTTAATATTTACAGGGGATATATCATTTCTTTAGGTCGCACATACATGAGTCGTCGCATTGACATCGTGGCTTAGAGTTTAGACTGAAAAATCTTTAATCTTGCGTTAAATGGTAGTCAAGTGCAGAGACGACGAAAGAAATTTCTTGCGAGTAGAAACTCGAGTCTGCGGACAAGTATAGTAATCTTCCGATCTCTTTACACTTTAAGGATCTCAATAACGAATCGTTAAGCAGCCTGACACACAAGGATATCTTTCGAAGTCGATTTTCCCGACATAGTTTGCTCGCCTAGTAACACGGATCGCCCGGAACTCGAGTGAGCTTAACTTTTTCGGACTAGGTACCCATATTGGTGTCTATTGTTAGAATTCTTTTTGAAGTGCGAATACATTAACTTTAACACTGTGTATTCTCAGTACAGAGGATTTACTCTAGAAATGATAAGGAGGTGCGCAAGTTGGTCCACGTTGTATACACATTATTTGTCGTACAGCTCGATAACTGCATTTGCAGTAACGCGAATGTAGCAATAATATTTTCTCGTATAATCTGTTTATTTACCACTGCTATTGACATGTCGATATTTCTAACTTTCAATTGGGCTAAGACTTTGCGAATGATTTGATTATCGGATTTTATTTGCTTATGGTAATAGGGTTCAATTTTTTGTCATTGGCGGAATAGTTCAAGGTATAGTCTCGCTTATGCGTGTAAACTTGGCAAATATTCAGATGTAATCATGGATTGTATAACAGGACATCAAAGATGCCGACGGGTTACATCTCTCAACGCACTCGTCCGTCAGTGTGATTTAATTAGCATCGTTTGAAATACTATAAGCCAGCCTCGTGGACCACCCTGCGCGCCTTCGTTATTTAGAATTTAAGGATTAGATTTAAATTTCTCCACGTACAAATATATTCTGGGTTTAAGCGAGTACAAAAATTTCCGATATGCTTACGTACCACACCTGGGCGAGTTTTCACAGCTTGGAAGGCGTTAAAACGTTAACGAACGAAATAATCAACGAGAGAATACTTTCGAATACGAGATAAAGTACTTTTCGAGATGGGCGATTATCTCGGAAAAAATATGGTTTCGCCTTTCAATTAAATAAAGGAATCATATGGAGCCGCTATGGCAAGAATGTACTCTCTCTCTTTCATTTTAAATGCATTAGAGATAGCACATTGTTGTTCCGAGCTCTTTGTAAAATCAATTCTTATAAATGCGCATTAACCATGGCGTCAAAATTATCTCCTCAAAAAAGAAGAATTTCTCACAAGGTTTGATCATTCCAAAGAAAATCTTAATATTAACTCTGTGCAAAATTATCAAAACAAGGAGCGTCTTGAAACTGGAAATACCCTCTTTGTTATTGTTTGGTCGTAAAGCTATTTAGAGTAATGAAATATCGCATGAATGTGGCAGTCAAATTTCAATGGATAAACTTTATTTACCAGAGCTTGCCTTTTTTCCCAAAAAATCAATTTGCTGTCGGAATTATCGGTATAGGCTTTTATTGTGAGCACCCCCTTTTTTTTCTATGCTTAGTTATATAATTATGACTCATCATCGTGCAAGAGTTGTATCTATTGGAGGGATAAATTCAATCACATCTCTTTTTCGTAATTATGAACGAATTCTTCGTTTTTGATTTTGACCAAACTACATTTTATATCATTTCTTTTTTAGAACTTGTTTAAAAAAGAGAAAGAGCGGATTTATGAAACTGTAGGAAATTCCGTTATCGGAGCGTATTGATCGATTTTCCGACTAGGGTCTTTTTGAAGACTGCGTAATCTTATTTAACTTTTAAAAAGAAAGAATTACTAGATCAATTAATTTCCTATGTCCGCATTGATCGTTACGCAACATAATCCTAATTTTTCAATTAGATTGTCGTGAATACCTTGCGCGTTTATTCTGCTCGGATGAATGAATTACACAGTATTGAATTCTATATAATATAAAACGATATATGGATTCAAGGTACGAGAAAACTTTTCACATTATTGTAAAAAAAGAAAAAGGTTATGTAAGAATTCAATGCGTAATTGCATTATCCGATGGGCGATGCGTATACTACATGATTATGAAATCACTTAATGCATATGGAAAGGAATACATTCAATGTTTAATATGCGGGATAAATAAATAAATAAATAAATCGAGAGTATTATAACTTCACTATTGAATCTCTCAAACGAGGAGTTTCCTCGTCTGAGAAATATTTAGAAAGAAAAAAAGAAGAAAATGCTCAATTCGCTAACATTAAGGTTGTACATACTTAATCCGAGACTTTTGTAACAATTGTATCACTTATAAATGTATTTCCAACTGCTCTCATTCAGGTTCCAAGAAACGGTACAATTAATCGGTACGTGTAGAATTAATAATTACTTTACGGAGGTGCCTATCGAAATATAAAAAGAGAAGAACTTAAAAATTGCTAATCTTGAACAAATGCTATACAGATAAATTACTGAATGCATGAGATGGTGTCAGTTTTCAAACGGCCGATATTTCAATAGAATCAACGGAATCATCTTTTGCGTGAGTAATCATATCAACTTTTGCGTGAGTAATTAGTTGCAATATTTAATTGTAACGCTCCATAAAAAAAAACCGAAATGAAGAGATACTTAAAATAACGCTTGGCTCTGACCCGCCGCTTGAGAAAAACATTAGAAAAATAAAATGACCATATTCGGCAAGAAACACTGGATTTCCGAAAACTCTCTTTCCAATGTGCAAGTTCGCATTTCCAATAAAAAATCTTCACGAAAGTCGATATTATCCTCTAATATGAAGTATTTCCTCGCGTTCTATTTCTAAGGAAAAACGGTCGATCGAGAAAGTAGTAATAGCATTCAAACTTATGGATATCTCAGAATGAGCCCGAGTCAGCAGAATAGAATTTAATAAATAACTAACGTGATTAATGTACGCCATTAAAAAAAAAAAAAAAGAAAAAACGTCCCGCCGCGTAACTAAAGAGTTCTGTCCTTTTCTTATATCGCGGTCACTGGGCAGCTATTAAACGGGATCCGTCAACTATTTCAACATAAACGCACAGTTCAGGACCAACTGCTGTCGGTCTTGCATCAGGATTAAACTTATCACGTGGTCGAGGGAGTGTACAAGAAGTTGCGATAAAAGCCGAACGGTCGGCAAACTTAAGGTACAAGTAAAAAGGCTAGATCGCTGGAAAACAGGTGGAATTCTTCTTACAAGTTACATCTTGAGAATGCCGTCTAATCTATGTACGATTTTAAACATAATTCCAGCCCAACATTTTAACATTAGCCACCCAGATTGAAAATCTTCGGTGTTAAGCTGGTTCGGAAATGAGGAGTAAACAAGGAATCTCATTTATCGAATGATACACAGATCTACCACGGTTCATATAAAAGGAACTGGAAAACTGGCTAAATAGGGTCCACGGACTATTCGTGCTTGCCGATTCCATTCACAAAAAGAAAAGAAAAAGAGAAAGAGAAAAAGAAAACCTTTCCTCTACCCACGACTCAAAACATGATCCGCTTAACGAGATGCGTTTGATTTTGACAGCCCTGTAATACATCCTGCGTAAATTTCCCGCGCCTCGAGATTCTCAAGAGCCCATAGGGCAAACCGGATAAAAATCGCACCGAGTACGCGCATATTATTAAAAACCACATGTCGAATTCCCCAGCGAGTGAGCATACGTCTACGTGTCGCCTGTGTAGGTATGTCGTATCGTACGATATAACGTGACCACGTCGCACGCAGGCATTCGTAATTTAAGTATACATATGTATATATATTTATATATATATATATATATATATGCACGATAATAATAAATTTATAATAATAATACTATGATACAGGATGTAAGTACATTGGTTTAGTGATTGCAGGCTGCTCCTCTCATATCACAGAGCGAGGGGCGCCGCCGGGCCCGCATCTACCTATCCTCCTATTCTTCCTCTCACTCTCTCCCATGCATTCCACCATTCTTGCCTCTTCGTTTCTCTCCCTCAGTCACGCTCTCCCCGCCACAATCGCGCTGTACACAAAGTCCACGACTCGCGCGCCTGTTTAATCTCCTATTATAATATTTATATATATATATTTATTTATAATTATATATATATACTTCTTCTCTGGTTTATATGTATATATGTATATAGCCTTACGCTAAGCGAGACGACCATCGCACGTCGACGATGGACGGTCGGATTCGGGGGACGCTCACGGCGGCGACGCCACGTGTCTTGCGGCTCCCGCGTCGAGCACGTGTCACAGGGCGGGTGATATACAGTACATGTTACATATTACATATTACATACAAGATACAAGAAGATCCGTCGCGTTCGGGAGAGCTCAGTCTAGGCGTCGCGAGCGCCGTTCGCGTCCTGTCCAGAAGACGGAGATTGCGTCGCGCCGAGGGTCTCGTGTCCGGGCCACGCGGGCCGAGTCATCGAGTCGTTATCGAGTCATTATCGAGTCATTATCGAGTCATCGGCGAGGGGCCCGAGGTCTGAGCCGAAGTCGAGGTCCGGCTGCCCGGGTAAAGGCCGTCGACGATCGCGCGCTCGGATCAGTCAGTCCACCGATCGATTACAACGTAACGACTAGTGTGATAATAGGAACATGGTGTGGGTCTTCGTCCGCCAGGTGGAGGCCCAGGGGCCGGCGACTTCGCCCGCTGCGTCTCTCCGCGTCCTCCGGATCTGAGGTTCTTCCGGTTTCGCTCCCGGATCGAGCGATCACCTCGTCAAAGTAAATCGCCGACCTTTTCCGAGGCAATGAAGGACCACCGACGGATAGTCAGTGCCGATGACGTCTTCGGGAATCTTTAGGAATCTCGAAATAGTCCTCGAGTGGGAGCTTCCTCGCGTGCGAGTCGCACCGGGGAAAGAGGACGACGCGGCGCACCTTCCCACGCCTCTGGAAGTTCATACCTCGAGGTGCAGGAAACGCGTGGAAGTGACTCCGATATCGAGAATCGAATTCGTTCGTTGTGCCGATAGAAGATGGCCGATGATACCATTCCCTGTTGGACGTGCACGGGATGTAAGCGAGACCAGCGTCGACGGTTAAACCTCGGGACTCTCCGGACTCGGCCGCTATCTCATGGGTCTTGGACGTCCTCGCGTAATTCTCAGCCATGGTTTACTCCGGGGCCCACGAAGCTTCTTCCGAGGTCTTCGTTCGGTATCGCCCGAGAGCTCTCTCCTCCATTATCTCGAACGGGAGCCACGGTGGCCAGGTGGAGGAAGACCGGCGTCGGCGGGTCTCGGAACTGTCAAGCGATCAGCTGATCAGCTGGTCGGTCCTTCACGCCGCTAAGCCCTCGCCCCTGGGCGCCGTCGGAGGCGGCATCCTCGCCGTCGTCGGGGTCCGATTGTCCTCCAGAGAGGGTGGTTCCCTCTCGAAGTGGCTCTGGAGAGTCTCTCCACCCCAGGAGGGTATGCTCGCCGAGTTCTGGCTCCCCGTGTTGGAGGACGGCGTGCCGGGCGAGTGGGACGGCGAAGGCGTCCGGAACAGCATGGATCCCGAGGGAAGTCCGGACTTCCCGTCTCCCAGGGGGCCGTTATTCGGCGTCATCGGCTGTTTCTCCATGGGGTAGCCACCCCCGACTCCTGCACCTCCACCGCCGTACACCGAACCGAAGAGTCCCGCGAACTTGCCCGCGCCTACCGGATGGGCCGGCACCCCATTGTTACTCTGTATCACCGATATCTCGTTCAGCTGTAAGTAATTCATGTCGTTTCTGGTTAACTTTACTCGTGGGCAATTACCTACAAAACGGAAAGAAAAACACAGTGGTTAGTCCCTGACCTAGGATACCGCCCTGAGGAGTCGCGAGTTAAGGGTTAGTCGCGAAACGCGTAACTACTCTCGGTGCGCGCTATCGGGTTCACTGCGTACAGTATCCAGTGGCCAGGATTGAATAACAAATCCCAATTTATGTACCCTACATTTTTCCCCTTCCAGAAAACTATCCACCTGGTGGCCAGAAATACATTCCACCGTCTCTCGTTATTTACTCTCGTGTTCAGTGAATGCTCGGTACCTTGACTAGGAGCGAGACCGAGTCGCCGTTCCGATAAGCATATTCATATACGCAAAACGTTTTCTACCGAAACCCTCGTAGCCACCCGACGCGTATTCATTGACCAGATTTCGTGACATGTCCAAGACAGTGCTCATTACGTGTAAGGTACCCTGCCGATCATTAACATATGCCGTTTCAGCGTCAACCTTGGTGCGAGCCGAAAGTCCTCAAACGTTCACTCTTGAGGTCTACGAGAAGGTATTGCTACTCGATGTCAGAATAACGGCGACATTTACCACGCTCAGCTCGGTTGCAGTTAAGGTTTGCGTAAAACGTTACGTTTATTAACGTCGAAACGACATATTCGATGAACGATGTATGAGCCGTATATCGTACAATCCAGTTTTTTGTAAAACGCGGCCCGATGGTCAACCCGACTAGGCGTTTTATATATACAAAATATATTATACAAAATGTCCGAAACGATTTAACCGCAACGTCAAACAGGCGGTAAATAATGAATTTGACAATGCGTCGGGTTGTTCGTGGTCGTTTTATGAATCGCCAATGAAGTTAAAAAAAAAAAGGAAAAAAAAAATCAAGCTAAATGCGAAGATTTGACCATCTTGCCGGGTTTTACAAGGAGCCCGGATTTTCCAATCAGGAGTTATGGGATATGAAAAAATGCATTTTAGACGCACCTTCTGTTGGACGCCGTTAAGGAACGGCGCGGGTAGGTACGGATAGAAGAGGTCCGGTCGTCGTTGGAGGAACTCCGAGTCCTTGGGCGTGATGGGCAGAGGCGGCAGGTCCAGGGACATGCGTCGACCTCGACGCGAGGCCCCGTTTGTCCACATATGGGTGCCCATGTGCACCTGGGTGATAAGGGAGAGAGAGAGAGCATTAGATCCATCAGGGTGCCGGCGTCGAGTCCCCTAAAGTACTCCTGAAAGTCCACAGCTATCCGTCGTGAGCTGCGGCCTTGCGTTACGCGTTAAGGCGTTAGTCGAGAAAAGCGTTAGCGGCGGCGGGTAGCTGGCATTAGTTGAGAACTTTGGCGGACTCGCGGATAGGAGCCGATAGAGCCAACAGAACCGAACGGAAGAGCGGCCCGGAAGAAGGGGTAGGAGGTATGGTGTGTGTACCTTGAGATTGCCCTTGGTGGTGAAAGCCTTCTGACAGACGGTGCATCGGAACGGTTTGTCGCCTGTATGGGTTCTCATATGGATCTGGAGCGCCGAAGACGAGGAGAAATTCTTATTGCAAACCTGGCACAAGTGCTTGCTGGGCATGCCTGCAAATACACACACACACAGATCGCTAAGCGGACCCTGCCTTGGTTCGACCGAGGTACCCTCGGATTCTCGACACCGCACAGTGGCGAAAGTGTCGACAAAAGCTGGCCAAAAGCTCTAAAATTAAATTTCTACCTTTGGAATTATTGATCATCGGGTTGGGAAGAGGAGCAATTAGGAGATTTATTACCAAAGGGCCTGATTATCGTGTACGGTTCTGTACGTCGATCTAAAATTGACGTTCGAACGAACTACTGACGTCGGTCTGTAAGAAGGGAAATTTAACCGAGTTCGAGTAAGCGTGATTATCTTTTAGAGGGTCTCTTTCCAATCCCGTAAATTGAAGGATATTGCTTGAAAATCGTAAATTATCCTACGCCATTTAAAGTGTAGTTCATATCGTTTGAACGGTTTTAAATATCTCGTCGAATTGTTCCTTCGTTCCAATGAGGTATTCTTACGTTTTGATTTTCAATTGCCGGTTCAGTGCGGACAGTTTTACATTTAGCAATGTAGTCTCCGAACTCAAAAATGTGCAAAACAACGATAAGGTACGAAATAATAATAACAAAAAAAAAAACGTTAGGACTTCAAACATGGATACATTTCGTTAGGGTGTTCTTCTTTGGTTAATTCTCCATTTGTTCATTTTTCCTCCTGAATAATGAAAGATTTAAGATCAAACCGATGAAATGCACTATCAAAATATAAAAGTTTGACATTAGGGCAAATAGTTTTTTGACCAGCTTCTCCCTCATTTTTGCTACTGTGCGTCGCGAGATCTCGTTCGCGCTCAAAAATTGAAAATCTCTTTCAGGTATTTCGAATAGCCGGGTGACTCGTTTAGTCGCCATTAATTGAGCTATTTTTCATTCGGTATATTGGGTGGGAATGAAAAAGAAAAAAAAAAAGGGAAAAACAGAAATGACTCGGAATTTCAAATTTAGCCGGGTGGACGTCGCGTTCGGTAATTGATAGTAATATTGTATGAATTGGCGAATATACCGTCTCGCTGCCGAGGCTCCGAGAGGAGGCAAATAAGTGAACTTACGGAACTGTACGTTCACGCACGTGAACGTTTTGCGTATTGTACACACGTATAAATACGTTCCATCGTTATCGACCCTCCATCGAGTCTTCGTTCCCGCAACGGCGATCGGTGAGCGAGCTTTCGACTAGGGATCTGACGAATCGAATGTTTTGACTAGTTGAATTCGAGTCCTTTTTTTATTGTACTTGAGTTATCGGTACGAACGCTCGGGAATTATGAGGGTGAGAGCGAAACCGAGTTATTTGGTTACTGTGCTTGTTTTACGCGTCATAGACTCAACTCGAAAGTGTACCGAGTCGTTTCAAAATTGCATTCGAGTTGGCGATGTTTGTCCTCGAGTAACTCGAATTGACAACGTTTATACTTGAGTAACTCGAGTTGTTAAAACACTCAACTCGAAAGTGTACCGAGTCGTTTCGAAATTGCATTCGAGTTGGCAATGTTTGCCCTCGAGTAACTCTAATTGACAACGTCTATACTTGAGTAACTCGAATTGGCAATGTATGTATTCAATTAATCCGAGTCGGTAATGCTTATATTCGAGTAACTCGAGTTGATAAAATACTCAACTCGAAAGTGCACCGAGTCGTTTCGAAATTGCATTCGAGTTGGCAATGTTTGCCCTCGAGTAACTCTAATTGACAACGTCTATACTTGAGTAACTCGAATTGGGGATGTTTATATTCGATTAATCCGAGTCGCAATTCTTATATTCGAGTAACTCGAGTTGATAAAATATTCGACTCGTCGTATCGCTACTTTCGACCAGCCACCAGCAACGAGCATGCCGCGTTGTTAGCCCGCACAGCAGTTAGAGGGTAACGAAAGACCGAGTGTAAGCAGGGATACACTAGCTCGACCTTGAGTTTCGTGTACATGTACGTGTACCAGTGCAATCAAGCGGATCTTTCCAGTGAGCATCTAAATCCTAAACGCTCTGGGTACACACGTCAATGTAACCGGTAACGCAGATGAGTCATGTCGCAGTCGTTTCAAAAAGAACAGCGGGAGTTCAAAGATACGCGGAAGCTTCTCCGTGTCAGGGCAAAGAAAGGTAAGACCGCCGTCAAAAATATCCACAAAACGCCCCCCCCCCCTTCGATACACGATTCCCTCATAAAATCATAAATCCAACCTCTCGCAGCTGAACGAACATACATTAAGAATTTCTAAATAAATTCATAATTTCACAGCGCCGCGTCAGGGATCCGTGGAATCACGTAGCAGGTGAAAAATGATTACACCATGTCTGAATAAAACTACGGGAAAAAAAATCTTACAAAATTTGGATAATAATAAATTCGGCAGAGTTTCGCCCCAAATACGCTGTCGGTCAATACGGTACTTCGACGTAAGGTATGTTCTACCCGCGAATTACAATTTCCTTATCGCCGGTCTTTACAGGTATCTAAAAGCTGCGCTAGACCTTTTCTTTGCCCCGAAAGAAGAGTACCCTAATTCCAGACGATCCGATGATAAATCCTTCCTCCTTCCCGTATTTTGAGCGGTCGAAAAGTCACGGCTCGCTCGGTCGACTTACTGGGTAGCCTCTTCGGAGCCGGGGGGTCGCCCTCGGGAGGAGACCTCTTCACCGGGATTGCCGACTCCATGGAAGTCGGAGGCATCGGGGGTGGTGGCGGAGGTGGCGGAGGCGGTGGCAAACTCGACTCTTCGGGACGCATCGGACTTCTCGAGCTCTCGTGGTCCAGGGATTGCTGGGAGTGCTGCTGATTGGACTGCTTCGCGTCGCTGAACAGATGCGCCGGCATATCGCGGATCTTGTGGGTGAGCATGTGCTGCTTCATGTTGCCCTGGGGATTAGAAGAGGCGAGTTTTGCCGTTAGACGGATAGCACGACAGGAGGAATCTCGATATCACGTAGGCAAGAGTAAAAGCGAAGCGTTCCCTAAAATCGGGGCCAACCGTGTGCCGGCTCAATATTACACGCATCATGCAAATACAGATTAGCCTCCACCGATAGAATCCCTCGTTTACCGCGGGTTTATGATTACCGTTTGTTTAACCTTTTGCACTCGAGTGGTGACTCTCGGCCACCATTTCGTTTGATAAGGAAACCCGATCGGTAACAAGTTGTGTTGTATATATATGTTTGGATAATTTGTCGAAGGGTAGAATAAGATACCCCTTGCTATTTAACCGGGACAATCCTAACAAATATTGCCATGTTTAATAAAAATAAAAAAAAAAATCCACTCCAGACTCGCGATCGAGCCCTCTCAACGAAATAAGCTCGGCGCAAGACATCGAACAACATATTACTGCAACATTTGCCCCGACAAGCCGAGGATGCATATTGGCGATTGTCTTATAAAATACCATACAAAGCGACGATACAGTCCTCGATATTTAACCAATTTCCATCATTCGCACGATACATAAGATATTAAAAGTATAATAGCTTTAAACGTTAATTTGAACGTGAAAACATTTTAAGTTAGCCGGATGAGCTTCACCAAGTACGCGGAAAATCGTCTCGAGTGCAAAGGGTTAAAAAGAGGGTTGACAGGTAAAAATCATCCCGTCACCCCGTCCGTAGGCGTGCACCGAGAAAAATGAGATACTTGAAACGAAATAAATGTGCCTATTCAAAAATCTGCTAGTCGACTCAAGTGAAATGTTCAACGGTTGAAATAATTATTTCTTTTATAGGAATTAAAAGTGAAATGCTTTGAAGTAAACGAAAAATGTCGAAATAAGTGAAAGTCTGCTAAGTTCGTATATGACTAAAATGGATTCGCCTCGAGTAGTAAATTTTTCTCAGTGTATGCGCAGCGAAAGCGAGCGAAGCTTGCAGATGGCTCCGAGAGGAAGACTTCCGCTTCCGTTCGAGCTCGACGAAGAAAGAGAGAGGTCGCGGGCGAGGCGCTTACCAGGAAGAGGTGGTCCGAGGGTAGAAGTCCGAGGGCGGGCGGCATCAGCGGGGGCAGGCGGACGGCAGCATAGGCAGACGTCAGTCCCCGCCCCCCTCCTGGCCCCGTCCGCCCACGGGGCTTCCGCTCCTCGGGCCGCCGCCGCCTGCGCTTGGGCCCCTCCCGACTTCCGGCCTCCGGCGAGCCGGGCCTCCCTCGGGACCGCGGGCCAGACCGCGCGGCGCGCGCGTCCTTGGCGGAGGGTCGCGTCGCCGCGCAAGAGCACGCTTCCGTCCACGGGGTGTCGCTCTGGAAATATCAATCGTCTGCGTCTGGTCCGACCTCGGCCCGGTCCCCGAGGTCGATCGACGACCGCCGTGACGTAACGACGGCGGATTCGCACGTGCGAGTCCGTGTCAGGACATGTACCGTGGGTGACACTGGGTGCCTCCTTATGCAAGACCCGTTTAACCCTTGAGGTGAAGTGATAAGTCGATTCGAACAAGACACTTTTTGTCAAGGAGTTATATACCAGTATCAGGCGAAATTCACCAATTTTTTTTCTCATAACTATGACGTAACGACGGCGGATTCGCACGTGCGAGTCCGTGTCAGGACATGTACCGTGGGTGATACTGGGTGCCTCCTAATGCAGGACTCGTTTAACCCTTGAGGTGAAGCGATAAGTCGATTCGAATGACATTTTTTGTCAAGGAGTTATATGCCAGTGTCAGGCGAAATTCACCAATTTTTTTGTCTCATAACTATGACGTAACGACGGTGGATGAATCTAGAGGATCTCCAGAGTTTTACTTCGATTTCTTTACAATTATTGTACGAAAACGACAGGCGGAGTATGCCATTTGGTACAACACCCAATATAATACCTCCCAGCGGTCAATATAAAAACGAACGTCGGCAACGTAGGCATTTAAAGAAATCTCCTTTACCGACGTCGATCAAGTTCCTCGACGCGTTTCACTCCACCTTAAGGGAAGTAACGGGCGAGATTCCCAAAGAAAGATTTTCTTCATTTTAGATGTTACCATAGATTATGTAGATATCGAGAGGGTGATCGGGTTTCCTACGTAATCTTTGATTAGGGGATGAGATCGACAAAAAAAGGGAGGTCTTTAAACGCGAGATATGTCGCGATATCGAGAACGGGAAGGGAGCTACGATAACGTAGATTTGGGTGAGTCGAAATCCGATTCGGTTAATTATCTCGTCTCGGCGAGGGAAGAACTGGCTCGGAAGTTACTAGGGGAATCGCCTAACGTACGCAGAGAATACACGAATAATCGGGAAATTGAGGGGATTGTTTACCTTGGTCGAAAACCCCCGGTCGCATATGCTGCACTTAAAAGGCCGCTCCTTCGTGTGGCTTCTATAATGGATCTCCAGCGCCGAGTTACATGCGAACGTCTTGTAGCAGATATTGCACGTAGTGTTGCCACGTACTGCAACAGATCACAGAATCGTTCAAAGATCGAGCCGATGGAAGGGCTACTCGAAAGAAGCTTTCGGGTCGTCCCCGCTTTTCTACTCGTCGGGTCGCGTATCGAACCTTTCGACGGATTAATTAGTGCTCGATATACCGAAGTGCCAGCAATCCCGGCAACGCTCGTCCCCGGGTTACAAAGAGAGTCCCGGGAGTTCGTCGCGTCGATCCTTTGCGTCCCTCTACCGGTCTCGCAGTAGTCCGAGGAAGAGAGCGCGACGGAACCATCGGAGACATCCGAAACCGATCCGTACCGCGAGATCTGACATTTTCGTGAGCGAACCCCGATCACGGATTTCCGCGCCATCGATTCCAATTCCCGGCCACTGATCCTCCGAATCGATCGACGAAAGCAAACCGCGCGAGCTAAGATTGGATCCCGCGAGTCCTAACCTCGAATCCGACAAACCCTACGCGTCCTACCAGAGGTAATTCTAAAAGGAGCAGGGTCAAGCTGGAGGCAAGTTTCGTTTTGTACAAAACCAATTTATTCAATTACCGTACATGGTCGTACGAGGCATCGCCCAGGCCCTAGACTCGCCCACCGGCGAGACGATCACAAGACGGTCGCAACGACGATTAAGGCAAATTAACTCTAACCACAACTGTCCCAACGGTACAGAGACCCGAGGGTGGCGAGAAACTAACATTATCCAATCTTATCAAAATTCGACATAGTCCGAAATCCGGATCGCGCGAGTCAGAGAGGGACTAAAAGGTTGGGCGGGTCGATGTAAAAAAGAAAAAAGGAAAAAAAAATAGAGAGAGGGAGGGAGAGAGAGAGAGAGAGAGAGGAACGGTGCCGCGGCACCGCCCGTCGCGTCGACCGTGCACATCTAACGAGTCCGAGCGCTAAAGCGTAGGGCGACAGAGAGAAAGCTAACGAAGAAGAAAAGAGAGGTAGAGAGAGAAGTAGAAACAGACGTAGAGGCTGAGGGGAGTGCTGGGTCCGGCTACACCACAGGGGAGAGTCTCGGGGCAGGGTCCTGGGAGGTCCGGGGAGGGTGGACTCGGAATCGGGGCCTTGGAGAGGAGGGTGTAGCGGGAGCCGCGCGGCTCGCCCTGCTGCTAGCAGCGCCTACCTGCTGGGCCTCCGACAGCCAGGCCGAGCGGGTTGTAGGTGGAGGTGGCGGCGAGCACGGCGGAGGTGGTTAGCGAGGCCAAGGGTCCACCGCCGCCGCCGCCGCCCCCGCCGCCTCCGCCGCTGCCGATCGAGGCAACGGTGTTCGCGCTCCCGGCGGTGCTCGAGGGCGGCGACGAGACCGCCTGCAGCAGGCCTGCGAACATTCCGAAAGGGTGCGCATGGTGCGGAGGCGGCGTCGGCGCGGAGGCGACCGACGCCGGCGTCGAGGAGGCGCGCGGCGTGAGGTCCAGGGGGGCGCCCAGCCCGGCGGGGCTGTTGCTCTTCTCGCTGCCGTTGTACTCGTGGGGGTGCCGATGGGGCGGCGACAACCTCGACGGGTTGGCCGGGTTGGCCGCGTTGGCGGAGGCGGCGACGCCGTTCGCCGCGGTCGTAGTGATGGTCCGCACCTGGTTCTCCAGGGCGGCGAGGGAGGTCGAGAACATGGGAGGCAGGCCCGCGAGGGAGTCCCTCCGGTCGGGCTCGTCGTGCTCGGGCTCGTGGTCCGGCTCGTCGTCGCTTCGCCTGTCCCGGGCCTCGTCGCACCTCTCGTCGTCCTCCCGGCGGTCCTCCTCCTCGTCCTCCTGGTCCTCCGTGTCCTCGGCGTGCTCGTCGCCGTAGGGCTGCGGGTGCACTCGGTGGCGGTGGCCCGGCTGCTGCTGGTGGAGGTGGTGGTGGTGGTGCCGCTGGCCGGCGTCCTTGGAGTCGTCGCCCTCCTGGGACGGGCGGTCCAGGTGGTGCTGCCGGGACGGCGGGAAGCCCAGGGGGAAGCCGGCCCCCGAGGGGTGCAGGGTCGGGAACCCTTGGGGCAGGAAGGAGGCGAGCGGGTGGGGCGGATAGCCGGCCGGGAACTCGTTCACCTCCGCCGCCTGGATCTGCTCCGGGCTCAGGTCCGTGGGCTCGCCCGTGTGCAGCCTGATGTGCTGCTGCAGCACCAGGGCGTTGGTGAACTTCTTGTGGCAGACCGGGCACTGGTGGAGCACGCGCAGCGGCGGCTTCGCCCGGTGCACCCCCATGTGGGTCTTGAGGTTGCCTTTGGTGGTGAAGGCGCGACCGCAGATCTTGCACTTGAACGGCCGCTCCCCGGTGTGGGTGCGGTAGTGCATCTGCAGCGCGCTCTTGCACGAGAGGACGCGATGGCAGATCACGCACTGGTTGGGGTCCGTCAACTTGTGCTCGATGTTGTCCACGAGCTGCTGCAGCTTGGAGGTCTCCGAGGTCTTGGTGATCTCTATGAGACTCTCCCAGGAGTTGTCGTTGCTGCCCGGCCGGGGTAGCAGGCTGGAATAGATGGCGGGGTCGCGCGCGGGATCGACGATCATCTCGCCGGCGGTGACGCTGGGCGGGACGCCGCCTCCTATCGTCGGCGGGTGGGGAGGCAGCTGGTGGTGCGAGGGTGGGCCGGGGAACAGGATGCCCGCGAAGGAGGTCTGCAAGCTTCCGCTGCTGGCGCTGCTGCTCGCCGGCGAGGCCCCGGGGTACGCGGCCGTCTGCTGGCCGAGTCGCCCGGAGGTCCCCCGGCCGGAGAGGTTCTCCGGCTGCTCGTCCATCTCCTCGTCGGCCTCCATTTCCGCGTCGCCCTCCATCCGCGCGCTCATCTTGCTGCTGTCCATGCTGCAGTCCTCGTAGGCCTGCGGCTGGGAGGGCGGGTTCGCCGAGGACGGCGAGGAGTTGAGGTAGCGCCGCGACGCCTCGTCGAACTCCTCGCCCTCGTCCTCGGGCACCTCCTCGGCGTCCTCGGGCTCCCGCTTGGGGGTGACGCGCTCGCCATCCTCCGCGCCGGCCAGCCTCTGGTACGGGTCCTGCGTGGGCGACTGCCGCTGCTCGAGCTTGATCTCGTCCCGGGGCGGCTGCTTCTGCCGATGGTGCTCGAGGAAGGAGCCGTGGGAGGAATTGGCGGCGGGCGAGTGGGGCTCGGGGCCCGCGGGCTTGCTGAGGTTCTCCGGCAGGTCCTGATCGTCCCTGTGGTTGACGGTCGGGGATCGGTAGAGGGGCGGCATACCGGGCAAGGCGAGGCTCAGGGGCAGGGGCGGCTGGGGCGGAAGGAAACCGTGGGTCGCCGCCGGATGAAACGGCGGGTGGTGCGGCGGCGGCGGCGGCGGCGGCGGTGGCGGCGGCGGGGGCGGCGAGGGCAGCGGCCTCTGGCCGGACGCGGCGAGCTGCTGGAGGAGGGGCGGGTGGTACTTGTCGAGGTGCTCGGGCACGGGATTCGGGTTCATTTTGACGTGCGGAAACTTGGCCGAGTGCCTTTGGAAGTGGACCTTGAGGTTCCCCTTGGTGGTGAATCGGCTCCCGCAGACGTTGCATTTAAAGGGTCGCTCACCTGTGTGCGATCGGATGTGGATCTGGAGGGCCGAGTCGCTGCCGAAGACCTTGCCGCAGTAGCGACACCGGTGCTTGAAGAACGGCTCGCCGCGGCCCCCGGCGGGCTTCGAGTCGTAGGGCGACAGCCGGGAGCCCTTGCCGCCGCGGAACGCGAGCTCGTCGGCCAGGTTGTTGGCCAGCAGGCCCTGGCTCGCGTTGTCGAGCACCTCCTGGGCCCGCTTCTGCAGCATCTCGAGGGTGTTGGGCTCGTGGAGCGGCGGCGGGTCGGTGTTGGTGATGATCGACGAGGCCAGGGAGGAACTGATCGAGCAGAGGGGCGGCATCTGGTGGACCAGGGGCAGCTGGCTGCCGACGGAGGAGCCGCCGACCGCGCTCGCGACGCCCGCGACGCCCGCCGCCCCCAGCGGGGGCAGCCCGATCGGCGAGGCGCTGCCGGAGGGCGCGGGTCGCTCCTGGGGACCGCCGGGCGCCGCGCCGCCCGGGGGCAGCGGCGACGGCGACGGCTGCTGGTGGCTCGGCGGCCGCGAGGAGGGCGGCGTCGCCAGGGCGGACAGCGCCTTGGCCGGATGCACCGCCGCCGCCGGCGAGACGACGTCCTTCGGCGCGGCGTCGGCGAGCGTCGCCCCCTCGCCGCCGCCCACTCCCGGTGGCGGCTGCGCCGGCGCCTGGCCGTGCGTTATCGATAGCTGCTGCTGCAGCTGGCTGATCAGCTGCAGCTGGAAGACCTGCTGGTGCTGCAGGGTGTACAGCGTGCTCTGGAGGAGCGCCAGGTCCTGCAGGGCCGCCTCGCTGTCGGCGCCGCCCGCCAGGGCGGTCGCCGCGAACTGCGCCACCGCCACCTTCGTGTTCTGCAGCGCCTCCAGGGTCACGTGGCTCGTCCCCACGGGGGGGAACATGCCCGCCGGGGGGCCGCCCTCCGCGAAGCTGTTGTTGTTCTCCGCGTCTTGTCGGTGGCGCATCCGCTTCCGCGTGCCCTCCTCCTCGTCCTCCTGCTCGTCTTGCTCCTCGGCGACCTCCTCCTCGTCCTCCTCCATGGGCAACTCCTCTCTGTCCCGGTCATCCTCCTCCCCGTGGTGGGACCGCGACGCTCTCAGGTCCACCGCCTCGTCCCCGCCAACTCCACCGCCGCTCTCCTCACCCTCCGACGCGGAGTCGTTCTCCTCTCCTGGAAAGAAAAGCCTTTATTAGATCGCCGTTCGACCTCCGCGAGGTGGACTTGGACTCTCGACCTCCATCGATCCAAGGCGTATCTCTCCTCCGGGATACGATTTCGATCGTTGGAATATGAACCGTGACATCTGCTCGCATTTCGGCCTACCGAGATAATCGGGAGTTGTATTCGATAAATTCGACTCGTAGGCTAAGTACCCGCCAACCCTCGTGGACTTTGAGAGTAGGATAACTCTGTTAGTATTTCGAGACTCAATTTTAAATAGATATGTATTTCCTTCATTTGGTATATCGGCCCACGTAGCTGCACAATGTTTTCCGATAACTCGGGAGCGAAATGCGAGAGAGACGATGCCATCGATCGTGCTTTGTACACTTTCCTTAACCTATTCCTTTTCCTAATTAGTATATTATCTAGGCCCTTTCGGTATGATCTTTTCCATGGCGCCGTACACCGTTAAAAATATTCATAAAATTCACACACTTTTAGTGCGAAAGTATATAGGGAAATGACAAATTTGATGTTTCGACCGTAAGTTAGGATATATTTATTATGTATACCGAATACGTTTATACTTTTGATTGACAAAATTACAATGTTTCTTTTTAACAGGGTGCCTCTGGCCATTGTTTAATCGATTACATACTTTCCACATGTCCGAGTTATCCGGTGAAGGAAAAAGTACGAACTCCTCTGGAACGTACGTCAAAATCATTAAGGGGGTGTGAAAGTGACATCAAAGAGGTCTCGTATATGAAACTTTTCTCCGAATTAGGTCTACCGAATCGTTTCGAACTTTACAATGTGAACGTGGAGGCTGTAAAGAAGGTCCCGACCCCCATGGAATTTCAATTTTAAGAAAATTTGTTTATGGACATTTTCAACATTTTTATATATATATATATATAAAAACACTGAATCGTTTCGAACTTTACAATGTGAACGCGAAGGCTGTAAAGAAGGTCACGACCCCCATGGATTTTCAATTTTAAGAAAATTCGTTTATGGATATTTTCTACATTTTTTATATATATATTAAAAAAAAATGAAACCGCGAGTTTCAGGACCTTCCTTATAGCCTCTATATTCACGTTGCGATGTTAGAAAAGATTTGATACATACAGTTCGGAGAAATGTTTCATGAACGATTGACCCCTCGGACGCCACTTTCGCATCCCCTTAAGACCTGACTAAAGGGCGGCATCGACTCCAGAGAAGCAGCGCTCCTTAGGGATAAAAAGTATGCTTTTCGAGCAGCCACGTGTCAGAAGGTAGCAGCGGTTTCTAGAGAAGCGCTCACCCCGTCCGACGGGCGAGGGTTTCTCACGGCATTTCGTGTTCGCTTTGCTTCTCGGTAAATAAATTGGGTGTCAATATACCGACGCGAGCACGTTGCTTCGAGAACGGTTAACCGACTAGCGGTAACGCGTTAACCCTCCCGTCGTGATCCCCTTAACCCATTGTACCCCAATTTCTTATTCCAGGAAAATAAAAAAAGTGACACAACGTCAAACTAGCAGGTGCATTAATTGTCCGACATTAATTGCACCGAGAACAAAAATTCATCGAACCGGAGAAATATTCCGTTCCAAGGAATAATGAACATCGAACAAAAATAATTTCACTTGAACTCAAACAAGTCGTCACACTTCCGGAATAAACGTTGCGGACAATCCATTCGAGTTTATCGGAGTGAAATAATTATCCTTTGAATTAACCAAATGTTTCTTTGGTTCGGTGACATTTTTCTTCTCAGTCTGATGATTTACAATCAATGGACAAACTCCTTGGTTACGTCCAAGCGGCATTACAATAAGATGCTGCATATTAAGTTTCGCCGAGGAAAAAAAAAAGGAAATCAAATATGCCGTAAAAATATAGAAATATATGCAGGTGACAAGTCGCGCGGCATCACAGAGGGTTATCGCACCTAGGCCGATAGGACTTTGGGCGGTAAAATTCATTGTTGACGCGTTTTGACAACTATCGGACCCCGAAGATCCCACAGTTTGCTCGGGGATAAATATTTGAAAGATTAGGAAGAAAGCCCCGCCGACGTAAACGACCTTTATCGGTATTGTTCGTAAATAACCAGTCGGTGCCCAATCTGGTAGAGCCGAGGATTTCGGACGCGACGGATGGGAATTAAGAATCCGTCTGACACGAAAGCCCGGACAATTGCGTTAGATTTTCGCGGGGAATTAAGGTGAAGTGAAACCCCCTTCAAATCAGTCGATTCGAGTACAACACTTTTTTTTAAGGGTATTGGACCAAACTGTCCGAAACTTTGACACGTCACTTCTGATCATCTAAGAATTGTCCTGACACATTCAAAATGTGGATTTTTCAAAAAAATTTTTTAACTCAGTCCAGACCAGAACCAAAATGGCGTCGAGCTCTGATATTTCGATCAATATACAATTATCAAAGGCCCTGATATGAGAATTGAAAGGGTCAGGACAATTTTGCGACAATTTAGAACACTCTGGTAATCGATAAACTCGCATTTAAACGGGATAAAGGCAAAAAAAGTGTTGTACGCGCTTCTATGCCAAAACGATGAGAATACGAGGTCTTGGAGTGAGAATTTAATTGACCTGGAAATCACAGATGGCGCAGGGGGTACCACTGCAGTCAATTAGGGCCCCAGAAAGCATGAATCCAGAGGATTTCTGGAGTTTTACTTCGATTTCTTGATATTATTGTACGAAAACGACAGGCGGAGTATGCCATTTGGTACAATACCCAATATAATTCGGTATAGCTGTCGATATAAAAACGAACGTCGGCAACGTAGGCATTTAGAAAAATCTTCTTTATCGACGTTGATCAAGTTCCTCGACGTGTTTCACTTCACCTTAAAGGATTCGCCTAGCGAGCCGCGACAACGGAGACCCGGGCCTGTATATTCGTGAAAGTCCCGGGATCTGAAGCACGGGGAACGATTCCTAAACTAGTTGGTCTGGAGCGAGGCAAGAGTTTCGGGTGAAATCTAAGTCCGCGGGATGATTAACTCGGGCCCGCCGTGGATTTTCGGCCGAGGAAAGGTGGACGCGAGAAGTTACGTCCAAAAATGTGAAAGTTGACAGAGAGATTCCATACACGTGTGCTATCTACAGGCACGCCCATTAATTCTTACTTGTTCGGTGAGCCGTTGCATCATTGTATGCATAACTGTCGCTCTCATATTTTTTTTTCTTACCGAACGCGAGACGGGGAAAAAATAAATGTCTCGCCTAGAGTACCATTCCTAACCCTCGTTAAAAGGTACGGTCGCGCGAGTATTTTCTAATTACTGTTTTTTTCTCTCCTTTCTTTCTTTCCATCGCTCGGCTTTTCGACGTTCGACTCGTCGAAGTTTGTTAAGATTTGACGAAGAAGCCAAGGACCTCGCGGGTTAGATTCAATTCGGTCACGACTCACGCACTTCGCGGCATAATCTTGGCCGGTTCATTTGGGTTAATACACTTGCTGCTCGGTAGCTCAAAGTGGCACGCATGGTACATGACTCGAATGCGCGATGACAGCGCCTGACGTCGGCGACGTGACGCGCTAAGTTAAGTTTGGTCCCGCTGGATGGTGTTAAAATTCGCACGGTTCGCATCAGGGCGTCGAAACGGTACTTTTTCTTTTTTTTTTCCCCCCGCCCCCCAGGAAATTTACGCGACGGGCCCGCGGGAATACAAAACCGAGCGCATCGATTTCAAATCGAGCCGAAAGTCAATCTTTCACGAGGAGTCGTTTAAAGCCTATCACCACGAGTCCATCCTCCATGGAAAGTGAGCAGAGAAAATGATCAGAACCAAAATGGCGTCAAAACACTGGTAATCGATAACCTCGCATTTGAACGAGATGAAGGCAAAAAAAGTGTTGTACGCGCTTCTATGCCAAAACGACGGAAATACGAGGTCTCGGAGTGAAAATTTAATTGATCTGGAAATCACAGATGGCGCAAAGTGTCCCTCTGCAGCGAATTAGGGCCCCAGAAGGCACGAATCCAGAGGATTTCTGGAGTTTTACTTCGATTTCTTTGCAATTATTGTACGAAAACGACAGGTGGAGTATGCCATTTAGTGCAGTACTCAATATTATTCGGCGCAGCTGTGAATATAAAAACCAACGTCGGCAACGTAGGTATTTATAAAAATCTTTATCGACGTCGATCAAGTTCCTCAACGTGTTTCACCTCACCTTAAGGTGAAGTGAAACACGTCTAGGAACTTGATCAACGTCGATAAAGACGATTTTTCTAAATGCCTACGTTGCCGACGTTCGTTTTTATATTGACAGCTGTGTCGAATTATATTGTGTATTGTACCAAATGGCATATTCCACCTGTCGTTTTCGTACAATAATTATGAAGAAATCGAAGTAAAACTCCAGAAATCCTCTGGATTCATGCCTTCTGGGCCCTAATTGACTGCAGAGGGACCCCCTGCGCCATCTGTGATTTCCAAGTGAATTAAATTTTCACCCCGAGACCTCGTATTCCCATCGTTTTAGCATAGAAGCATATACAACGCTTTTTTTGTCTTTATCTCGTTCAAATGCGAGTTTATCGATTACCAGAGTGTTCTAAATTGTCGTAAAATTGTCCTGACCCTTTCGATTCTCATATCAGGGCCTTTGATAATTGTATATTGATCGAAATATCAGAGCTCGACGCCATTTTGGTTCTGGTCTGGACTGAGTTAAAAATTTTTTTTGAAAGATCCAAATTTTTAATGTGTCAGGACAATTCTTAGCTGATCAGGAGTGATGTGTCAAAGTTTTGGACAATTTGGCCTAATACCCTTAAAAAAAAGTGTTGTATTCGAATCGACTAATTTAAAGGATGTTTCACCTCACCTTAACGCTACGGAGAGGTGTCAGTAAAGCATCTGGTTGTTGACTCTCCTACTCGTTGCTAGGAGACTAATGTAAGATCACCGAGGTAGGAGCGTATACATACGGGGTACTGTTCTAATATCATCATTTTGCTTAAGGATATTCATTGCTACCGTACCGGACAACGCGGCGAAGTTTCATAAATTCCCGCCACCTCCTCGGGATGTGAAATAAATCCGTGTATACTATTAGGCTCTCAATGGGTCCTCGGATTTCTTCGCGGGCGCGTCTGCCGGATGCCGCGCGACACGCCGGCTCTTTGCACGCGGCATTCGGACAAAACAAAGAGGAAAATCCATCGGATTTACGAGGTCGCGAAAGTATTTAATATACGGCGGCCTACCGTCAGGGAGTAACGCACGACGACGAGCGCGCCCTCTCCGTCGGCCCCTTTCGGGACACCAGTACCGGCGAGGGAGCTTCCTTGAATTTTTGAATTTTCAATATTTCAATGAATTTCTCCGATTTTCAGCGAGTCGAGGCGTGCTCGTCTAGATTCGTCAAAATTGGGCAAGTTTCGACGTGTTCCTACGCGTATCAGAAGGGCTCGGCAAGATTCAGCATGTTTCGGCGAAGATCGGCAAATCTCGGCAAGACTCGGCAGGTTTCGGCTTTGGACGCCATATTGGACAGTTATAGATATCGTTAGTCATGACGCTCCGATGGAGCAGCGATGTCGACAGTTACCGACTTGACGTACAGAATCCCGCTACTGACGAGTATCGGCAAGACTCGGCAAGTCTCAACGAGTTTCTTTTTAGATGTCATCAATCCGCGACCGCGGTGTTCATCGTACCGGAAGCCGATCGCGACCTCGTCGACCGTTCACGGGAGAACGTCGCGGTCGGACGGGTGAGGAACCAAAGTCGCGGTCAAGCGACAACGGGAAGAAAGTCGCGGTCTATCGACGACGTTAGAGGAAGTCGCGGGGAAAGAAAGTCGCGCGCCAACTCTTCTATTAGCCACGGGGAGTCCTCGTCTTCCTCGACCTCGTGCCATTCCCGGAGATAACTCGAGGTAGAGAGCCGCCATCTAGGATGAGCACTTGGAACGACTCGATAAACTCATTTCTATTTCTAAATCATATTAGCCCCAGTCGGTTAAAGTAATCGTCCGCACAGGGTCATTTATTTTACCAATTCCACCTGACAAAGGGAATAATAATTTATCACTCATTTCTTCGCGACCAGTCGTAATGGATACGGGGTTGAAAGTTAATATATTTAGATGAAAAAATATGAAGAAACTGGGAGTAATCAACGGGGGCACGACCTTTGGGCTTTTACGTCGACTCGTTGGAATAAAGGATCTCCGAGGTTAACAACCACGACCGGCGGTCAATTCTCGGATGGATGACTATATGGGCAGCTTTCTCGAGTTCTCCAGATGTTTAATATCCAGGAATCCCTGGATGTTCCATCGCGATATGAAGAGATATCTCTACAAGCTATTGAGAGGTTAGGTCGAAACACGCTAATCGTCAAAATTCATTTCACGGTATCAAGAAACTAAATGTACTCGGTTGAAATGGACGTGTAACCGTGTGGCCGGACATGTATTAACGCGGTTGTATAGTACACGGCGCAGATCGAATTATTATCATTATTTTTTAGTTATTTCACTTTACCACGCTTTTCCATTTTCCATTTTAATATTCAACAAAGCAGCGCAGATGGCACGACTGAGAAATACTCGAGTACCGGTTAACGAAACGTATTTAATTTACAACGAAACAAAACTACGATATAAAAAAAAGAAATTGCGAATAAGGAAGAATATATCCTGCCTTCGATAACAATCGCGATCGATGGGAACTATTATTTAGTTCGTAAAATTCAGTCTATACAATCTTAAATCTTAAAGAAGGACGTCTATCTTAAAGCAAAATTGCACTTTGATTATGCCGCAAAACTATATCATCGAGAATACCTTCTCTCTCCGTTCATACCGGACAACGTAAAATCCGCCACCTCGATCACTGAACTTCCAAAGTGCCGACTCTTGAAATTTTCCACAAGTTACTGCAAAAATCATTTTAAGCTGCGCCAATGGTAACATAAAAATAGAGCACGGTTATAAGATATAATTCGTCCGAATACCCCGCTGGCCCTGCCGTGCCTATCGATCGAGTCATCGAGCTACAAATCGAGAAATCTCATACCGTCACCATGGTCATCGTCCGCCACCGGGAGGCACTTCTTCGTAACCATTATACATAACGCCTCACTTAAACAAAAGTCCTTCGTCGCAACAAATGAAACCATCACAGAGGGCATGCACGCGAGTCGGTGCGTAGAGGGCGTACCGAGGGATCGCGCGTAAGCGCCGCGAGCGGTCCGCCCGCGCGAGAAGTCACTCTGACAGGTCTTGGCGTCGCGGCGTTCCTTCAGTCCGCGGCTCTCCAGCCGGCGAGTGATGCTCCACCGCATGAGCTGCATGGCTCGCTGGCGCGAGCGCCGCGCGCCCTCGCAGTCTTCCAGGGCGACCTCGGTCAGCTCGGCGCATCGGCAATGGCCGGTCGCGGTGATAGGCGCGCATGCGTCGCGGAGGTTGCCGCGCACGCGCGTCCAGCGGACGTCGGCAGATCGACGGCCGCCGGCAGAGACCGGTGCGAGGTGCGAGCGGAGCGCCGAACGAAACCGCCTTCGACGATCCGACGCGCGGCAAGGACGAGATCCGACTGAGCGCGCAGGAGAGAAGCAGCCTGGGCGTAGGTAGGCGCACCGCGCGCGCGGCGAGCGCCCCCCACCACCGCCACCGCCTCTCTCTCCGGCCGTCCCCCGTCTCTCTCGGGCGCGCGGCCCGACCTATGGCGCGCGCTCTCTCGCTCGCCCTCGCCTCGAGCGGGGTGGGGGGCGCCACCTCCGCGGAGCCGGTTATGACAGGAGGGCGGCCCGATTCATAAATCAGGGGGGAGAGAGGCGGAGCCTAGGCGAACCACTCGTCGTCGAGATATTAATTATTATCGGGTCTGCGTTGGCGCCCCGCCACCCGGTCGACACCTGCGCCTCCTCGACTAACCTCCCCTCCGGGCGCGCGACCGCCCGCGCGCTCCGCTCGTTCCGGCCCGTATTCGATACTCGAGTTTTCCTTCTTATCGCCGTTTTAACGATGGCATGCGTGTACATGGATATATACGTTTCTCGGGATTTTCGAGAACTATTGACATTTTTTTTTCTTTACATTTCAAGGATTCGATGAGCCTCCGCGGTGCTCGAGAAATGCGCCATGGTCGGCTGCTGACGAAGTATGGCTTTGCGATGCACCATTTCAAACGGTATAAGTAGACACCCTTTCAGGGTAATTTTATATTTTAAAAAATCGCAAAAATCGAGATTGACAACGGGGGAAGTTTTGGGAAGTACAGGGTGTTACAGGATTCCCGTGCGTCGTTTGCTCATCGTTATCCTTGTCGAAAAGGGAGTCGGAAGATCTTCCCCAATTTTGTCCGATGATTTAACGGGACGCGAATCGAAGAACACGCCGCAAGTTGTTTTTCTCTTCCCTAGCAGACAACCGAGCGCGATTGATACACGACCGACTAATCGACGCATTCGATTTTCTATTTTTCAATTATTTATTACAAGGAAATTCGGTACCGATGAGAAAATTCTACAAAAAATTCGGACCACATTGCGAACAAGGATAGCGACATGTAAATCGTTTGTTGGAATTTTATTACACCCTGTACATTAATCCCTTATCTACGAGCGCCACTACAGAGGCTTCCCTCTGAGTACCGTATTTTTTTTTCTTTTTTTTTTTTTAAGAGACGCCGCTATAGGCCCTGTCTTTACGACGAACTCAAAGCAACAGATGAATATCGTCGATTTGCATTCTAGTCCATACAGCTTCTCAGGCAGAATAGCCTCATCCAGAGGGTTAAAAAATCGGTATGAAATCTCTTCTACCTCCGTCGCAGGGGCTTTCTTGCAAATAACATTGTAAGAACAACTGCGGCAAAGTCATCGATCTCCCCGAGCCCGGGGTCGTCGGTTGCGTTTATGGTCGGCGTTTTCGAGCAAACGAGAAGCTCCGGGCGTCCTAATCACCCGTCTTATCTATGCGCGCGATCTCCGCTTATTTCCCAATTCATGCGTCTTTTGAAAGGGAGAAATTCGCCGTATCCGTTCCAAACATTACGATGCTATCTGGTACTCCCTGCCTGCGAATTCCCGTATAAGATTGGCGCAACTGGGAATTCGTGAGAGAATTTCGAGTTTGTGACGAAAGGGAGCACTGTTAGGTCCCTACCTAACGTTTTATTTTAAGTAATATTAAGAAAGAGATTAAGCAACGCGTTCGTGCTCCAAAGCGCTCCTGGAGACATGCTCTCCCTCGTTCCTATCTCCCCTTTGTTTATCCGAGTACTTCCGCACCCCAAACTAGATAACCGCCCTGGGAAACGTCAAACATCCAGAATCTCTGGAAAAGACACTTTCCACCTGTTTCCCCTTCGACCTGTCCCCAAGCCAATCACATGAGACATTTCCCTCCTCAATCTTAAAAACCCACCAATAAGCATCCTCCTCCACGCCTAAGAACATCCTAGGTCAGTATAAAAAGGCCCGCTCCGAAGGGCTCGCTCTCTGATCTATCTAAGTTTGAACCGTCTCGATTCTGTAACCTGCGTGCGAGACACCTGTGACTCTCGGCGAACGCTAGTCCCCCTGAGTCGACCTAGTCTACGAGTCGTTCCTGTAAGCCAAGAGGCAATTGAAAATAAAGTATCTTCGTTACTTTACTCGACGAGGTCTTTGGCTGGTTTCAACCATCTGGAAGCGAATCCCTAAAAACATACCCACGAGGCCAGGTCCGATCGACACCCTCGGGTAATCGCCATCACCGCTCCCGAGTAAACGATCCCCGACCTAACAGCACGCTCCTTCGGAAGGTGCACCAGGAGGATCCTGGTTTCGCGAACGGCGCCGATCCCCGAGTCGGTGACCATCGACGGGTCGTGGACTTCGATTACCGATAGAATGGCTCGAGATTATCTAAAGCCCGAGCACATCGGTGCTAATTTAATTACCGACTGTTCGGCGCGAATCTTGGCACCCCGTACGGCTTCGACTTTCTCTTTTGTTCGTATAATGGCACTTAGAAGTTTCGCAGCGAGGCGAGCGTTAACGCAAGAGACTCGCTTTTTGCCAATGACGGGAATATAATACTAATGGGGATATTTGTAGAAGACTCGGTTTCGACACGCATCGCTGCTGGAATCGATGGAAAAGTTTCTCTAGGCCTTCTTTGAATAACACGTACCGAGCTCGAGGTAATTAACCGCGTTTAGTGACTACGGCCATTTCTTTTTGCGTTCTCGACGCGCAATATCGCGCAAGACCTGTTTCCGAAACGTTTTCCGGTACTACGTCCCGTTTCCTATAAAATTGCCCATAAATGGGAAAGGTGGAATTCCTTCTACGTACGATTTTTACATTTAATCGGAAAATTGGAAGAGACACGCTAACTAACGTTGACGACCGACGTATAAAATTTTCAATGGCCAGACCGTTCACATAAATGTGACAAAAATTCCCGATCAATGGCGATCCTCCTAGGACATCTTTACAGCCGTCCCAGTTTCTTCCATCGGTTCGGAATTTCACTTCTGTCAGTTTCCCATTCACGGATGACATTCCCGGTTTTCCGTCAAACCGAGGCCATAAACCGAGTGGCACGTTAAAACGAGCAGAGGATCGTAATCCCAGGGCTCGATTCGGAAAAATGCCATCTTCTCGAGGGTCGGGTGAAAATCGAGAATTCGAGTGAAACGGAAACAACGGAGGCCTAGGGTGTACCCCCGCGGTTCGTCATACACGGTTTCGCCTTCCTTTTCCGGGAAAAGGAGCAGTAAAGCGTCCGAGTGGTAGAGCCGTCAGCTGTGTGGAGAGAGACGGAGAGAGACGAAAATTTAGCCGGGGACACGTGGCCGGACGACTCCTGGTGGACACGCGTCTACCTTCCAGAGTCTCGAGCTATGATTTACGGGTGCAATAAATCTCAAGGATTCGGCTGGTTCCCGCCGGCCGGCCGGGATGATCTATGACGGGTCATAGACGGACGTCGAAAAGGACCGCGAAGAAGAGGCGGAGAGAACGAGAGAAGAACCGAGTCCACGGATTGCGCAACGCGAGTGCGCCGCGCGATCTCAGGCCGGGTGCGCATTGTGGCCGGATGCGGAAAGGAGCCGAGGTCGGGCCTTATGACTGCAAGAGATGATTTAACGGGCCCCTAAATTTCAGGGTCCAGGTCGAGCCTCGACGGGGCGCCGAGCCGCTCCGCGCGCTCCTGGGTCTCCTCAAGGACCCGCTCGTGTCCGGTCAGGTCCACGCGACTGTGCCAGGCCTAATGGCCGCCGATCGGAAAATGGGGAGGAAGTCATAACTCACGGAGCGCAATGGGACGCAATGGGATGCGCCGGTGTATCGGCGGTGGACGCGCGCCCGAGGAGCCGTTTCGAGGCCCGGTCGTTTTGGGGAGCGTGGGGATGGTAATGTGGTCATCGTCTTACTCTCCACCTTCTCTGTGTCTCTTTCGTTAAAATACACCCACGCTTGCCATTTTCTTAACGACGATTAGTCTTTTTCCTGTTTTAAGCCCACTTGATGCGTTGCGTCAGGGCATGCCCTAGCTAGGCCCTTAAGCAGGTCCAGGATTTCTACGGGTCTAGGAAATGTCCATGTCTGGACGCTCACGGTCCATGTAATTCTCGAGGGTCCTCAGGGTGGCTCTTGCCAAGAATCTTTGGCATTCGGTATCTGGTTGTCCGCGCTCATTGTTCCGGGGACTTTGAAGTAAACATTGTTCTCGGTACGACAAATCGTGTGCAAGTATTCCTATGTGGCGACTTGTGGATCCCAGAGTGGCTGTAAAATTGACCGTAGAAAGGTGGTCGCGAGACATGGATCTTTATGAAAATTGACCCCCCATGACTGTGGGAGGAAAGTCACTTTCTTTCCCGGAGGACAGTTCGGAGAGGAAGACGTCGTCCTTTTATGAATTTTGTGGACAAAGGCTGTAGTGGGGGGTCTGCGTTGATATTATGTTTAAATAAATGGTTCTTCTCGAGAGTTTCGGAGATGGCCGGTCCGAAAGGGTGGATGAGATAGATTCGAGGAACGATTCCGTTAATCCTGGAAAATCCTGGAAAATTGACGACCAGTTTCGCTGTTGAAGGTGCGCGTCGTTCTTTGGATGGAGATCCTTTGGTGGAGGTGCGGGGGTAGGACCCTGTACAATGGAGGGTACAAACCCGACAATTGGGTTACCTCATGGCGACTTCTTGTGCGTTCGTTACTCTGTGAAAACGCCGAGGAATCCCTTAATGGACACCGTGGAGAATTCGAATCGTTGGCCTACTTTCGGAATTCGAAGGACCGCCCTACCATGGAGCTAAGGCACCCTGCGAGGGAGGTGAATGCCAATTGTCCTGGAG